AGCAAACACTGGCGCACCCAACGTACAGTGCGTTGGGCGGGTACGCTAAACAGGTGCCCACCCTCAGCGGTCGTGCCAAGATATTGCCCAGCGGGTTGTACAACGCGTAGGGCGGCCATCGCGCTCGATTCGGGGCGAAGCTCAAGCAGAATGGCATCAGACGTGATGGTGCTCAATGCACGCAGGGCAATTGGCATCAGATCCAGTGAAATATGAGAAGCAAGCATCGCGCCGGCGCGACAGTCCAGCCCAAGTGCGCCAATTAACCGCAGTTGCAGCCGCACAAACCACTCCGGAGCTTCGACCCCCTCTCGAGCGCGCAGGGGCCCGAGCACGTCCCAACCTTGCTCAGCCAGCCAGCCTGCCACGGTGCCCCGGGCAACTGACGTTAACAAGAGGCCAAGCACGCAACACAGGTCGAGAACGTACGAACCCAGAGTCCAAAGCGCCAACCCTGCATTATTCTCGCGTGCCGCTTGCACCAATGCACGAACGCGCTCCTGCCAGTGCGCCTGCACAGCGGCGCTCCACCCGTGCGACAGGACGAGGCTGCGCACGGCTTCTGGCACGAATCGTAGCAGTTGAGTGCGCAGTGTCGAGCTGACGTCCATGGACCACTCCGGTACATCAGCTAGGTGATGTGTTACGGCCTCAAGCGCCGCCCGTACGACCTGTGGTTGTGACGAGGCCAGAGCAGTCCAAGCTGGCCAAAAGGCATCATCCATGAAGGCTGCCGCTGTCCAAGCCTCCGCATCTCCAGCCAGATTTGGAAGCACCACGAGTGAACTGAACGGTGCTTGCAGAGGCAGATCGCGTTGATGCGCATGCACGGGGGCGATATGTGCAGTGCGATCGCGCACGTCAGTGGAGCGCACCGTGACCAGGTGAGCCGTGGTACCAAATGAGCCTGAGGAATTGGCATTGTGCCGGGAAGAAATGGCAGGCGGTGCTACGACCGTCAGAGCCGTGGCACCCACGCTCGGCATCAGGTCAGTCGTTGAGGTCACCTCCACATGACGCAAAGGGGGCAAACCAGCAACGTGCTGGGGCTGAGAGTCCCATCGTACACCGCCATGCAGGGAGATAAGACGTCCGTGGCCTCGATCAATCACGCGGGCGTTGTCCACGACACCACGCTGAAGGTACAGCAACGCGCCAGCGTGAAGTTTTGAGCTACCCGCGGCGCCACGACAGCCACAGCCACAACCCACATCTCCGCGGCGAGCTTGGTCCTCCTCACCACTGACCATTCGGCCACCAGGAAGACATGCCATGGGACCGACCCGCAACGCTCCGCTGGTAAGGAGCCGGAGCGTACATTTAGTGAGCGCCGTTTGCACGGTGGCCCAAGTCGTGCCTGGCACTTGAGGCGCCAGCCTGGTGTCCACAAGCCAAATGAGACGCCGCAACAGGGCCAGTGGTGCTGACGCGTTCGACGATAAGCTTGTGTATACACTCAGGGCGCCCAATAGCTGCTCGAGGGCCGTTGATCGCTGTGCTTCATTCCGCAACAGTGAGGGTAGTCGTGTGACGAGACTTCGCGGGACATGCAATTGCGAGAGGGTTTGAAAGCATGCCAGGCCCAAGCTGGCGTCCAGCTCGGAAACCTCGCTGGCCACATTCAAAACGCTCGGCAGTAGGGAGGGCGAGGTGGTTAAGATCGCATTGAGGAGGGATGGAAAGAGGGCGTGCTCCATAAGCTGACCTGCACCATGTAGTGACTCTGCTGTTGAAGACGTGGCCGCTGACACAGACGACGAGCGTAATGTTTGTAAAAGGTGGTGAACCAAAGTGGCCGCCTGGTCGTGAAAGTTGTTGGGGGGTGGGTTGGCAAGAGCTCGATGCTTAAACTCGCCGATTACATATGGCAAAGCATCGCCAGTGGCCATCCCAGCCGGGACGCCCCCCTCTCCCGAGGCGCTGGCCCCCGCTCCAGGGCGCTCCAAGTCTCCTTCGCGTTCTCGAGGGGCGCTACCAGGGCGCGCATGGTGTAACATGCGCAAAAGTAACTCGAGGCCGCCATCTCCGTCCAAAAGCGTCTGGCAAGCAGCCGGATGTCGCAGGGCCGTCATGAGCAAGAAGAAAAGGACTGAGTTGCCCACATCATCAATCCGACTCGCCCCAACATCGCAAATAGAGTCCACCACGTGACATGCCGCTGCCGGAGAACGCTGGCAAATGCGCGCATAGAGAGTGAAGAGCAAGCGAAAGGGTGACAAGTCCAAGGCACTATGAGCTACCTCAGACTGCGCAACGTAAAGCGTCGCTGGCCTGGGGTCTGCCATGGCCTCCCGCACCAGGTGCTCGCACCAGCGCTGCGATGTGCACTCATCCTCCATGGCAATGGTATCTCCAGCATGCACACTTGAACCAGATGCCGCGTCCTTAAGCTCGCCTCCGTCACTGCTTGACGCGGCCGGTGCTTGGCTCTGACTCGAAGTTGGACCCTGCCCTTGACCGGGACTCTGAAGAGAAGCGGAAGTAGGTGGTGCTGGAAGGTCGCTGCGCCGGGGCGTCAACCTAGCACCAACAGGCGCTGATAGGCAGGCGGCTGAACTCACGTGACTAAGTACGTTCGTGATGGTAGCGGCAGCATTTGAGCTCAAAAAGAGGCCATCCTCCAACTTGCCTCCTGCGTCCAAGTTGTCACGATCAAGCTGCAGGATCGATGCGTTCAACAGACGATACACGCCGATCAAAAGGCGGAACTGCCAATCTGGCCAAGCCTTGCGGCCATACTGGTGTGGTGTGCGCAAGCAAATGAGAGCCAAGATGTCAAAGTATGAACTGATGACTGAAGCTGAACTACGTGCAGCTGAGGCCGCATTGTCAAATAGCACATCGAGCATATCCAGGGCCACCAGGGACGAGTCGTTTGGATTGCGCTTGAGAATCTCTTGCACCGTAGCCGTCACGCGCAGCACGGCAGGTTCTACCACCGTGCTTGAGCAGAGCAGCGCCGTGATGCACTGCTTGATGGCGGAGCGTAAAGGATAGCCGATGCAGCGGGGATCAGACGCCCCACAGCTTGCAAAGGCGGCCCATGCCGCATCGCACTGGATCACCCAGCGAGGGTCCATGAGGCGCAACAAGGTGAAAGCCAGCGTGCGGAGGCGAGCATCTGCGTTGATGCTGGGGTTTATGGCTCGGGGGGCCAATGTTTCGAGCAGCGCTTGCAGAGCCTCTGCGGATATAATCTCGACGTCAAAGTCGGGCACGGCATAGGGCAAACATTCGCCGCAGATGTTAAAATTGCAACCTTCGATGCATTGAAAGCGCTGGCGAAGGTCATCCGTCGCAAACTGTGAAAAGCAGGAGCTGCAACTCCAGCCTTCGGACTTGTGGGTCATGCCCAGCGGGTGTTGGTGCCATTCAAAGTTAATGGTGCTCGCCACGCCGTAGTGTGGCATGACCAAGTGCAGCAGGAAAGCAAGGCGACGAGAATGCAGGACTTGAAGGCGTGTCACTGGATGCGAGAGCAAGCTTTCGGCCATAAAACGCACCTGCTCCGTCAACTCCTCGAGCGGATGAGGTGCCATGACGTGAGCAGCGTCAAACTCGCAGCAGCGCGTATCCGAGAGCGTCGAGACGTGGTCACAAATGGCCACGAACATGAGAGTCACTGCCTCTTGCAAAACTCGATCTTCGCTACTAGCTACTACAGTCAGCACACGAGGGACTTGTTCAGAACGCAGCACCCACATCAAAGAGCGCCAGCTACAGTTGGAGCTAATGCGCTGCAGCAGCAGCGCGGCCATGACGGCCAGGCCGCGGCGATCTGTTGGCGCTACAATGTGTTCTGCAAAGAGCTCAAAGAGTCGAACAGGCACGAGCTCGTCAAGCTCCGGCGCATTGGCGAGCACAACGTCGGCGTTGCTGTCCACGAAGGTGCCTCGATCCCAGCCTGCCAAGACAGTGCACCCATCCTCGATGGAGCCTGGCGTGCTGCCGCGAACGTCAATCACATCCATGTCACGCAGTTTCAACTCCTGCGCTGTCTCGTGGGGGCGCATGGGCATTCCCTCACGAGAAAAAAGGAGGTGCTTGCTGCCGACACTCCACCGAGCGCAGTACTGCTCACAGACAGCCGAAATGCTCGCCGTGCGCAGCAGCTTGACAAGGGCAAAAGAACCGTCCTCGTTCCGAAGAACCAAGGTCACAAAGTCAGTCCAAACCTCGGGCGCCATGGCACGGAGTCGCACTTCAATAATATCATCATCAGAAACGCCGGCCTCAGCGATGGTTAGGAAGCCCGGGAGGGCTTGGTCGTGAAAGAAGAGGGAGTAATCGGTGCACTTGAGTCCGGATCGCTGACAGATCTCCACGACGATGACGCCGAGACACTTCATCTTCGATGCAAACACTGTGAACTCCTGAAAGCCCTCCTCCTGTCCGGTATCCTGAACTCGAACTCGGAGCAAGAGGTGCGTCATATCCGATGCATGGCTGGTGTCCTGAATCAGAAAGACCTGCTTGCCCACTCGAGTCCGTACATAGACTTGATTATACCCTTGCAGATCGACACATAGCCAATCGGGGGATGGAGCTGCACGGGCTTGAATTCGTTGACCGGCGAAGAGGCGACCAACGATCGCTGCGTCGTCGCGTGGTGCCACGCGGATCTCAAGTCCCGCCATTCGCACATTGGTGGTGGCTTTATACCACATCTTAGCCGTCGGGCTCTGGCCCACCAGCTGCATCACACGATGTCCATCCTTGTCGATGGTACACGCCCAGCCTGTGGTCTTGTTGTACTCGAGCTTGACCCAACGGAAGTCGCCCGTCACCTCAAGGAACACGGCAGTTTCGCCAAAAGGCAGATGAAAAACCACGTCGCTGCCAAAATGGGGCTCGGCGTGGAGCGGCGTCGGGCCCATGGTGGCAAAGGACACTTGAATGTTGTTGTGCTGATCAAGTTGGCTGGTGAAGGCGTGCAGTTGAGAGCTCTGGGTCTCGGGCTCGGCAGCGGGCGGCGCCACAACTTGCTCGTTCACCCATTCGCAGCGAATAATGTCCTCATCGGCAATGCCAGCCAACTCGGGTGTCAGCTGGCTTTGCAGCTCGAAGGATTCCCACCAGAAGCGACAGCGCTGGCGGTCGAGTCGTCGAACGTCGCAGAAGGCCTGGAAAAGCCGTTCGAGGGGTGTATGACGCTTAATCTTAAACTTCTTCTTGTAACGGAAAGTGTCAACAACGAATACAGTCAAGTATTCCTCTGGAGCACGATCAGTGGCCACTGCAGCCTGGGCCAACTGGGGAAACGCGTTGAGCAAGGCGTAGAGCGTGGCCTCGACAGCTCGCCAGGCCACGGGCAATGCCTTATCAATGCCAAAGGCCTGCGCCTGGGTCGGAGAGGCGACCAGATGAGTATCCTCGAGGCCCACGCCACGTGTGCCAGCACCTGGCACGCCAGATGCAGGTGCAGCAAAGGGCTGTGTCAAGCTAGCTTGCGACCACGTGCCCTGATCCGTGCTGCTTCGTGCCCGGTGCCGAACGCTTTGTGTGTTCAACAACAAGCCCAAGAGCGGGTTGTACATGGATGGTTGAGCCAGCCGGTAGGTGCGGATAAGAGTTTCCAAACCTTGCATGACACGTGGTTGTGCGGGACGCGCTGCTGCATCATCCCCGAAGTGAGCCTGGATGATTCGAAGCACTAGGGCACAGGCCTCCGCCTCGCTCCACTGCAGGCGCTGCATCAAGGCTAGCCCACCCGTGTGTAAGCGCTCATAGTCGCGACAAAAGCAGATATCAAAGAACAGGGCGGCCTCTGCAGGTGAAAGTCGTGTCTCGAGCTCGCTGCTGATGCGAGCCGCGCCCAACCATGACATGCACGCCCGCACAAAGGCCAGTTGGCGTGAGATGTTTGGTGCGGGCAGCCGAGGCACCAAAGCAATGACTTCCTCGCCTGCAAGGCGTGTTGCATGGTGCAGACCACTAGCGAGGCAGCTGGACTGCGCAAGCTCATCTACACATGCCAACGCGAGTGCTTTGCGCTGCAGCCTGCCATCTGAGCTCCCTCCAAACGCCAACAGCTGCGCTTGGCGAAGCGCCAATCGCTGCTGGCTGGTGCGCAATAGGGCAGTATGGGCCTTGAGTACCGGTAGCAGAAAATTACCATCCTCAGGTAAGAGTTTCTCTGCACTTGGTGGTGAGAAACGGACATGGTGATCCTCGAGCTTCTTAGTAGCAAGAGGTACACCATACAAGGCCAATGTGAATCCCGTAGGTTGGGGTAGAGATAATGCCTCTGAACCCGCAGTTGGACCAGGCGTCATGGGTGTCCCAGGTGGGTATGCAAACACCGAATCAAGCTCGCTGCCCAATCGCTTCGTTCCACGCAATGGGGTCACTGTGCCGTTCCGGGCGTCGACCGCAACGTGCGATATGCCCTCTGGCGGTGTTTCAAAGCAGGCTGATGCGTTGGGTTCATCGTCGGCAACTGCCCATTCAACGATAACAAAGCGTGCGCGCACAGAAAGCTGTGCGGCAGTGCTTTGGGCTACTAGGTCATCGCGGCTGGCGATGGCACCGGTCAGCACACATGCACCCTTGCTCACCCCCAGCTGAGGCGCAGCGAACACGCTAATCTGCAGGCCCACAGGGTCATCCGCTCGAGCGGCAACAATGACATCAGTAAGCAACGCCTCCTGCTCAAGGCAAAAGATGAGCGAGCCGCGACCGCGAAAGCAGACAACGTTGTGGCGCTGATACAGCAAGCCATCCTCCATGATGGGAGGGCGCCACTGAGCCGCCGAGTAGTCAGTAATCACGTCGCTACAAGTGAGTGGCCACCCTGCAGTGCTGAGCGCAGCTACCGACGGCGGCAAAAAATCGCAAAAACTCTCCTGAGCATGAAAGTTCGTGTGCTCGTTCAGAGGCACAATGGTACCTTCCTGAAGCACAAGGATGTCATCATTCAAACAGCGATGCAGTTCGATCAAGGGCCCTTGCACGTGCTGAACCAGAGCACACCAAAGGTCATCTGCATCCAAGCATGCTTCGCACAAGGCCAGAAAGTCTTTGAACGCTGAAGGAGAAGCGTGAGCTGCCATCGGCGCCCCCAAAGCCTTCAAGCAAGCAAGGCCGAGTGGTGAACGCAGTGGTGCACAGCCCTCAAGGAGCGCAAGAATGACGGCAGCCGTTCGGCTTGATCCCGTGCCTTGGTAGCCAAGGACACCCTCAATGACAATGAGTTCCCAGTCAATCTGAACAGTAGCAGGCATGAGCCCTAGGAGATGGGGGGCCAAGCGTCGACCCGCTGCTGCATAACGGGCCTGCCGCTCCAAGTCACCTCGACGTGGGTCCGCTGCAACGCTTAGAATGCGCCGCAGCGCAGCTTCGATACTGACTGCATTTGGACGAGGTGCTCTGGCACCCAAGACTTGCCATGCCAGCTGGCTGGGAGGATGCGAGAAAACAAATCCAAACTCGACTATGGCCGACTCTGTTGGCACTTGTAGTTTCACGAAAAGGCGGCTGCTCGTCGGTGTGGTCTGCAACGAGAAAGAAAAACGATAGGGCAAGGGAACGGACACGTTCGCATGTGAGTATCATTGCAGTTACACCTCGAGCTGAGGCGGGCTGCCGTTCTCGAATTCGCGTTAGCAACCCCCAACCCTCAACCCTGACCCCTCGCTGTTTGGCTTTCTACGTGAAGCAGAGGCAATGGCAATCAGGCGATTGCTAACTGAACCCACCTTCCGAAAAGCAGCAGGCTCAAGGAAAAACTCGAAACTTTGAGTGGTTGTTCGGACTTCCACATGCAGTCCGGGCAGCTGGCTAGAGCTTCTAGGGTCTTGACCGACCTTGGGTGCTGAGGAAAGCTCGCTGGCAGCTGTGCGGGGAACCGACTGGAGCACGGCGTCAGAGAACTCTAACGCAAGCAATATTGACCAAACGAAACGAGTACGTTCTAGCTTGACGGCCACGTGTGTCGTCTGCGAAGCGCTGCTGGTGCCCTGGTGAAGGCTTTTTGTGCTTGCGGTTGCTCTTGCTACCCGCGGCTCAATTGTGAGAGCAGCAGCCTCGTCCAATGCTGGATACTCGCAGGGTTGAACATGATCTGGACACAGCATCAGGTGGTCAACGCCGCGCCCGTCAGTCACATGCTGCTGAGCCCAACCCTCACATTGCTCTTCATCAGCAGACTCATCAGCAGAACTATCCTCCACGCTTTCCTCAACGTGGATCCAGCGCACTTGCAACCAGCCATCACAGGCCCCGATGACGCTGACAGGAGTGCCGGGTAAGATGCGCCCGACAATGTTGTTTCCCCGTTCCCGCGAAGAGCGCACAACCAGAAAATGCGCCCCGTGACACATGTAGTATGACAGAGGTGGATCATACTGCACGGGCTCGAGGTCCGACGGGCGTGAGTAAGAGGAACCTAGTCCATAATCTGGGGCCTCGGTGCACGCAAAGAAGAGTTGCCATGTAATTGGCGTCACGCTGCGCCCAATATGCCGAGCCTGTGGAATTTCGACCTGAGCACTTGCAATGCAAAGCGGCATAGCCACGAGTTCGGGCTCAAGTACGTGTGCTGGTTGACAACATCCAGCAACCAGGGGTGTCGCTGAATAGTCCTCCTGCTCGGTAAGCAACGGTGCGAGCGTACTTGACTCTAGGGTTTGCATAGGCGGCAATGCTCCCAGGGAAGCAAAATAAAGTGCTTTGATCAAGGCCAAACGGTCTTCTTGTGGCTGCAAGGATTGCGCCTTGCACAAGTTTAGGTCCACCACCCAAGCATCAGTTTGGCCGTCCGTGCACACGAGTAGGTCTCGTGCATCGGCGTGCAGCACGTGTCCCATCGGCTCGATCCTGCATCCATCAATGGCGTTCGAATCAGCAGCTAGCTGAAACCCTTCCGTGGTGCGGCTCAAGGCAATCCGGTGAGCTGTAAGCTCTGTCAGTCGAACAGGCGCATGATCTGCCCCAACGTCACCAGCAACAGCTTCACAAAGTGTAGCCAAGGGCATCAGGTTGATCACCAGCACACACGGCTGCTGTTCGTGGCAACCCAACAGGGTCAGCGCGAGCTGTCGATGACCCTCACCCGACCGTGTGGCAAGAGTTGAAAATCGTACACAGTCCAGGGGCACCTCCAGGTCGCCAGCGAGGTATACACCATCTGTCATGAGCAGATCAAGGAGGCGCTGGTCCCTGTTGTGACGCGAGGACAAGTGTTGCTCGAGCTCTTCCAAGCTTTGCATAGCAACGGCGCTGGTGCAGCCCATCGGACACCTATTAACATGATATTGGCACGGTGCCGAGAACAGGCAAGGGTAAGGATCGAGTAACATCTGAGAGTTAAGAGTGCATGCCAAGGCTGAATCTGCTAGGCAATGGCCAGCTCATGCTTGGGGAAGGAGGTGGGTGGGGGTGTTGAAAAGACTCAGAGGATGTCATCACAACGTACGCAAGCTCGTCGACGCTAGCACCAGCTAACAGGGCGCCGAGGCGTGGCATGGCCGTATGGACACGCAATACGGTGCGCTCATTCGGAAGCCGCAAAAGCGACAAAATGAAGCCTGCGCCGGTAACTCGGTGGGGTTGCAACCAATGTGCACCCACTACAGTAGCGTTGATACATCTATCCTCGGCATCGGCATCATCCAAAACTTGTAGAGAGATGTCTGGGCTGCGCGCAGGCTCAGGTGCTGGCCCTGGCGATGAAGGATGAGGATTTTGAAAGTTGCGCGGCAAGCGAGGCACCCGCGATGGAAGCGTGCGGCCCGCCTCGTAAGGTTGGGCAGAAACGCCTGGATGGAAACTACAACTTGCGGCCAAGCTGAGGGACGTCTGCCAAAGACCAACGGTGCCGTCTTCGTTGACCGTGACAATGCCGTCGCCCCGCGAGGACCAGCAAGTGAGACGGGTATTGAAGGCGGTGCCCCAGGATGAGGTGAGCATGGAGGAGTGGCGGGTGGGCGAAGAAACCGAAGCCGTTTGATGGGCGTGGAGCAAAGCGTCAGGAACGGGCCCCTCAGTGCCGGACCAGCGCTGATCCTCCTCCGCCACCTCTTCCTCAAAAAAGACATGATCATCATCGTCTGGTTCGTCGAGGTCATCTTCGTCCATGTCCAGAAGCTCCGGATCGATGGGGGGCTGGGCTAAAAGCTTGGGCTGGGCATGCCAGTCTGCTGGGCGATCCCAAACCTGGTTGGGGGGGCCTCGGCCGCGCAAAAGCATTTTGCGTATGTATCCCCACAACTGCTCTTGACCCCGATGATCTAGCGTGAAGGGGGGAGGTATAGTCGAAGCTGCCAGATGTGCACCAAAATGGCAAAGCACAGGCTCGTCGCTGTTTGGAGCACCTCCACCCCCCTCAACATCACTTGTTTCATCCGCGTCGTCGGTGAATAAGAAAAAGCCCCAGGCCGCAAGCTGGTCAGCAGTCATGGACATGGGCTCCTCAAACAGAGTAGCTGGCAGCGCCGCCAGAGATTGACGGCGCGCGCGCTCGCAAAAATAGGGGCTCAGCCCCCAACTGACGGGATCCACGCGATCAAGGACATCAAAGAGCAAAGGCGCAAAAAGTCGGCAAAGGACGGCGTTGCGGGATTCGAGATTGTCGCGATGTGGCAGATCTTGCAAGTAGTCAAAAATGCACCGGACGGCCACGTGAGCGATGGCTTCCTCCAGTATGCAGACCACCACGGGACTATATGCGAAGAAGCGAATGGCAAACCCGACAACAATTAGCAATTAGCCGGAACAAGTGTCTGTTTGTTTGTTTGTTTTTTAATGATCGAATGGCAGCCGGGATGGGCAGGGAGGCGCAAGCACGGCTCACGCACGCGATCTTATTCGTTCATGGGGGGGGGGGGGGGGGGTGGCGAAAAAATGAATCATCAATGGTGCAAAAACGTACGAGATGCTTCTGTATGTGAGACCAGGCAATGTGGTCCAACAGGAACAAAAAGTCATTGAGGGGCAATGCATGGTGAAATTTGCTCACGCTGGCTTGAGCAGGCACCTGAGTAGAGGTGGCGGGGATGGTGACAAGGAAAAAAAAAAAAGAAGCGCGAGCGAGCGAGAGCGCGCGAGAGCACAGCGTGCAAATCATAGCAACATGAGGGGTCGGTGACTTGCGCGAGCAAAGACGATGCTTTCTCAAGCCCGTGGTGCCCTTCCCCACTGATAATGCGGCTGGGACGTGTTGCTGAGCTTGACGTACTCGCAAAAGCGCGGCCAAATCGGCCAGTTGCGTGCGGGCGTCCGTCAGGCCCAGGCCAAGCGGGGTTTGAAGGATGTGCAGCTGACCGCGACGCAAGATGCGCGAGTATCGCACTCTTTCTAGCGATGGTAGGGTGGGTGGGTTGGCGGCTGACTGCAGCAGCCTGGCGCGCACATGTGCAGCGGTATGTGCCAGTATGGGGACGAGCGCGGGGTTATGGTCGTCATCACGGCTCGGGACGAGGGAAGGGCTTTGCTCGAGAGGTGCCAAGTCATCAGTAGAGCCGTGGGTAATTTGCCGCCGAAGTTCTGCGACCAAAGGCAGTTGCAGCGTTAGTTAGTCTTCGCGTGACAGCAATGAGGAGAGCACGAGGCCATCAGTACCGTGGTGAAAGGAGGCATCTTGAATGAGATGTGCCGACTCAGGATGTGGCGAGGGGTCTCGGCCTGGGGCAACTGCGCGAAAGGAGCCTGCGTGCGAATCAAGAAGGAGATCGAGTGCGAGTGCATTGGCCTCGTTCCATGGAATGGTGTCTGTCAGCCCGAGTTGAGCAGCCAGTCCCCGAAGCTCCAATTGTATGGCGGCGTGCGCCATGGCACCAGGGGTTTCGGAGCCCGCCGCGGCAATGGCGGTGGTGGCGGAAGGACAACCTGCCAAACCCAAGGTCGACACGTGCAAACGTCCTCGAAGGCAGGGCGCCACGCCCGTTGCTTGCCGGCAGGACGTCTATGGGTGGGGTCAAGCGCGCGCACCTCTGCAGGTGAGAGAACTGGAAGCACGCACACTGGTGGTGGCCGACTCGACGCACAAGTCCCAGGCGGCGAGAGGAGGCGGTGGACCAACCGTATCAGCAAAGGGATTAGGAAAGAATAGAGCGACGCTTCAATGTGCCAAACCAAACGGTTCGAGCAAAAAGAAACCAACTGCAGTGGCTGCCATTCAATCAAGGAAAGCGGAAAGCGCTGGGGGCCATGGATTGTGGTGTGAGTGGGGGTGGGGGTGATGTTTTTGGGTCGTTTGCGCACACACACACACGGGTCGGTCGTTTTTTTGTGAGCAGGAAGGCTGGATATGTGCGTTTGCGCCAATGGTTGTGGCTCAAGAAGCAAAGTGTACGGCGCTGCCTGATGGTGGTGCAGGCTAGAAAGAGAGAAAATTCACCAGTGTTCGTGAACGTGGTCGGGAAGATGCATGAAGGTCTGTCCGTTGACGTTTCGATTGACATGTCGCCCCCTCGGGATGCATGATGCAAGAAGGTTCAAGGAAAGCTGAGAGAGACTGTTTTTGATGCGCGAACACAAGCAACAATATGCACCGAGTCAACTCGGCCATGTGAAGAGAAACGAGCATCAAGGCCCTTCAAGAACGCAAACATGAGCAGCAGCAAACGGTGAGGCGGATTCAGGAGGGAGACGAGCGAAGTAGGCGGGTCATGAGTTGGAAGTAGAGCGCTTCGCTTCGAGCTGTGGCCAGCGCAGATTCTAAAGCTGTTGTTGGCGCACCGAGCGCTTGGTGCATTGCCCTTGGTGGTGCGGCGTCAAGCTCGAGCGGGGCTGGTTGCAAGGACACGCTCGGAGCACCTGTGCATGTCTGTGTCATTTCTGATACATGTGCAGGCACCTCAGGGAGGTTGTCTGCTGAACCATGTGCCGCAGGTGACGTGCCGATAACGTTAAGGCTGGTGTGCGGGGCCAGTGGTATAGCCACGGCAAGACTAGCCGACTGCGGCGGCTTTGGCGAGCATGTAGCTTGATCGACCATGGGCCTGGGCTTGGCGTGCAATAGAGGAGAGTCACACTTGAGCTGTACCTGGTTTGGCGGGTCGGGGATCAAGCACTCTAACGTGTGACCAAGGAATGTTTGCCAGGCTGCATTCTCCTCTGCACCTGCGTCAACATGCAGTGCTGGGTCTTTTTCAGAGGGCAGGGCTCTGACAGCGGCTACTGAGGTCGCTGGTTCAAACCCACGTGGCGGCTGTGGCGGCTGTGGCGATCGTGGCGGTCGTGGTGGTTGTGGCGACCGTAAGGGCTGTACTGGATGTGGTGGTCGTGGTGACAGTCGGCGCCGTGGTGGTCGTGGCGACAGCGGTGCACGAATCGGGACTGATTCCGAGGCTTTGGCGCCGATAGTAGCATGGTGTTGTTGTGCAAAAGGCATGCCCGGCAACTCAAAGTTGGCGAGAATGGCGCCATCATCAGCGGGCGGAGGGGAAGCCACCGGGACCAATGGCATGCCAATGCTGGAAAGGTGGCTGGGCATTTGCGCCTGCGCAAGCCTGGACCCCCTGGACCAAGAGTCATGATGCTCCATGAGTGAAGTCTCGATCTGGGTCCTCAACTCCAAGGGCAGGCGCCTCGGTACAGGTGCGGGGCTGTGAGTATCAGTCTCCAAGACGTTGGCCCTGGCCATGTTTGCGAGCGGCACTTGCTGCGTGGGGCCATGAATATGGCCCCGGCGGTGCAGGGTCTGAAAGAACTCGACGTCTCGATTGATGGACTCGAGCGCCTCCGCACGTGTGGGTGCATGGGCATGGATCCGCGCCCGTGAAGCGGGTTGATGGCGTCGCCTGTCAGCTGCCACAGCTCTTCGCAGCTGGCTTCGCCGACCCCCGACCCAATTCATCTTTCGCGGTGCTGCCGTAGACGAGCGGGTGAAGGCTGCTGACGTATGAAAAGGAGTGTGTGAAACAGGAGGGAATGGCTATTTCTTGTGACGTGAAGAAGCTGGAAGGTCAGTCAAACAATGTTTTGTCGACAAATGTTGGAGCGTCTTTCCCGCCAAAAAATGTCAGACTGACTGGTTCCTACACATGTCAAATTCACTCGATCGCTCCCCTCATCGATGAGGGTGCTCGGCAGAACACGGCCGCTCAACAATCCCCAAACAGGAAGCGCACAATAGTGAAGAGCAGAGGAGTCAGAGCCACGTGTGCACCATGACAACACCAACAGGAGGTGCAGCAGGAGTGACGCTGCCCACTCCCGACTATGGCCATGTGACAGACGAAGTGAGTCGAGTTGCTTGCGCCTGAACTTGACCCAAAAAAAAAAAAAAAAAAGAAGTCGGCGTGACTCAAACTTCTGGTCCGCGTGCGCTAGGACTATGCCCGTGTGTATGAACCTTCAGAGGATACTTTTTTGCTCCTGGATGCTCTTGAGCTACATGCGGCCGAGCTGCAGGATCTTCGGTACTTTTCGGGCCCAACCGCACCTCCAAATGTTCTGCTGCTCGCCGACTGATCATTGTTGTTTCGCATGAATCGTATAGGGAAGCTGTTGTGAGCGAGATTGGTTGTGGCGTTGGCCTAGGCCTCTGCGCGCTGGCCACGCTGATCCAGAACGGCCCGGGCACCCTATCCCAAGCCATGTGGGTGGGCTTAACAACACTTTGTCAACATGGTTTTTTTTTAACAGATCATGCCCTCACGTCCTTGAGCCTAACCCGCGTGCCCTGACCGTAGTGCAACAGACGTCAATCCGTATGCGCTCGAGGTAGCGCGGGAAACGGGTCGTCGCAATCAGATTGACATTGAGACCTACCGGGGAGACTTGGCTGCCGCATTCCCTCCTGAGCTACGAGGGCGCTTGGACGTCCTCCTCTTCAACCCACCCTACGTCGTGACTGATACGGAAGAGGTAAAAACTCTCTTGGGAAGCTGTTGCGACGCCTGTGGCAACTCTGCGACTCACGAGCAGAGGAGGTCCTCTTGTCTGGATAGATTTCAACCACAAGTCTAGCTGCCACCTGGGCTGGCGGTGCACATGGCCGTGAAGTGCTGGACCGCCTGTTACCAGAAATTCCATCTCTGCTCTCAGCTCGTGGGCGCTTCTATCTGATCGCTCTCAAGGAAAACCTGCGGCCAGATACCCCAGGTCAGTGACTGCCTGCCATTGCCTTAGGCGAGGGCAGTGACTCGTGGGCATTATGACTCTGTTCCTGCTGTAGATGACCTTTTGGCCGCCATTCCAGGCATGCGGGGAGCGATTGTTGTCTCTCGCAAATGTGGACGAGAACGTCTCAACGTTGTGTGTTATACCCGGACACCTTCATCCTGATGGTTCAGGCTGAGGTCAAATAAACCTCATCATTTGCAGAGCAAACTGGACTGTTGATTGGCCTGAGCGATATTCGCGTGCAGACCTTGCCTCTAGCCAAATCTGCTGGCACAAGCATCCATGTCACAGTTGACACACGACATCCAACGTAGGACCTTAATCATGGTGGTAAGAAAGAATTTTGTCTTATCTGATGATGTTGAGAAAAGGAAAACGAAGATTCGCAGAATCGATTCAAAAGATCAAAAACAGAGCCGTCATGGCAACGCGAGGTTGCCACAGTCACCAGTATGATACAGTGCAAGAACAAACACAACAATTTGGTTCACAGAACCCAGCTTGCACAATCAGTAGCACAGCTACAGCAAAAAAAGGGGGGGGGGTCTCGCACGGCGAGTCAGGAAGTATAAACAAGAAACGGCATGTTTTTGGTAAGCATGACGAGGACGAGGAAAGACAAGCACAAACACAAGAAAATGTACACTGTCTCATTTGGATTTGCGCTTGTCACGCTTGTCCTTTTTCTCGCGCTTGTCCTTCTTGTCCTTCTTGGCCTTCTTGCGATCACTATCAGGAGTTGTTGCGTTGGTCGCGGTACGAGACTTCTTGGTGCTAGGAGACCCGTCATTCGCTTGATCGTTGCCGTCGTCCAAAGCGTGGCGGACGAAGCGCTCAGCAGCCTCCTTGTTCAAATTCGAACGTGCTGAAACAAATCAGAAAACCAACAGGAATATGAGTGCAGTTACATTAGTATCACTACCCTAAGTCTCTATGACATAAGAATCAAGGTCGACATGGAACCTACCAGCACTTGGATCGCGCTCAAGACCCTTGATTTTCATCATGTAGTCCCTGACCCGACCCAGTTCAGCCCGCACCGGATGCTTGGCAGGGTCAACGCCACGAGAACTTAAAAACACTGCATGAATAACGAAAATTCAGGTGAGATGATGAAAGTGCACCACGGCAGTGGCTGGACCAAAAAAAATAAAAACAAACAAGTTGAGCCGCCCTCTCGCAAAACGTACTCCAGAAGAGAGAATTAGCGTTGTAGGCCAGCAGAAGGTCCAGCTTGCACTGGTCCAAAGGAGATAGCTGCAAGGTAGAAAGTGTACAAGTGAGCAATAGAGCAGAGTCAAATGCACAGGGTGCACAACGAGGGTTAACGAGGAGGACACGGATGTGAAGGGAATATTTGAGCTCAGCGGTGGTTAGGTTTTACATCATCACCCAGAGGGTAGATCAATAACACGGACCAAATGGGTCATCAACGCTCATTCCCCGCACATACACGCGCGCACACACACACAGAAGAGACACACAAGAAGCCACAAGATGACATCGTGCTGTACCTTTTCACGAAGCTCGGCTGGTGAGCGTTGTGCCAACGCATCCATGCGCTCCTCGAGAGTTGTGACAGCGTCCTCCATGGCGGCAAGCGCCGGCTCCCAAGAGGGTGTTGTGGTTGCCATTGCGTAGGCGAATGTAGAAAGCTGGACTGGTCAAAGTTTTAGTCGCAGACCCCCCGTCGTATTGACCGACAAAGATTGAGGGGGGGGGGGGGGGTTGTCAGATAAGGGCTGGGCGACCAACCCAGTGTAAATGCCACCGAGCGCGTGCGAGAACTACCAAGTCTCAACTTGCCCCCTCTCCGACAACAAGAGATTGGTCGTGGACAGTGGGTTCAAACTAGAACGGAGAAGAAAAAAAAAACATGAAAGGGAAAAAAATGTCCCACGTGGACAGCACCTGCACTTGCTGGTTGAATTGCTTTCAAGCAAATTCACCGGCACTGACAGAAGGTAGTCAAATAAAATAGCCCCCTCTATTGTGCAAAATGTGTTTTGATGACAATCGCAGACGGGTTGAGGCTGTTTTTTTTTTTTTTTTTTCTGATGGTGGGGGTCAGTGCCAGTCGGTGGCAGGCAGCTATGACCCAACACCGCCTTTCTAGTGTCTGCGATCAACCTGATGGCCCCGGTTATGAGGCAGTAAAAGGGTGCAGAGGGCGCTCGGAGGTATGGGGGCGACCCATGGCTGGAGGCGCTTCTGACTAACTCGGGGTGCGCGCGGTCATGAGCCTGCCAGCGTCGCGCTTTGCCGTGCGCATCTTGGAGCTTGATGCGTACACGACTCGACCCAACGAGCTATATGATGAGACCTATTCGGTTTTTCGCGCCTGTGCACCTCCACAGGTACCCGTCATCCGTGTGTTTGGTGTCACGCCGGCTGGACAAAAAGTCTGCGCCCATGTCCATGGCATCTATCCCTACTTTTACATCCCCTGGTGGCAGCCCGAGCCGCCAGCGGCAGCAGACCTGCGTGATCTGGCCGCGAACCTAGATCAAGCGCTGCACCGCGCTCTGCAGAAAAAGGCCTCCCGCGCTGCTTGTCTGGTTGCTGCCGTCACCCCGATCTGCAAGACGTCTTTCTATGGATACCACCAGGAGCCCGATCTCTTTCTGAAAATAGAGCTCTACAACCCCTTTTTGGTGCTGCGCGCCGCCGATCTGCTCCAAGAGGGCGTCGTTGACGGCAAGCGACACCAGCCCTATGAAGCCCACATACCCTACATGCTCCAGTTTATGGCCGACTATAATCTGCAGGGAATGAACTTCATCTTTGCTGCTGCCGTCACCTTTCGCGAGCCCCTGCCCCCAGCGGCTGCCACCACCTCTGCGTCTTCCCAAACAAGCACTGCATCGCCCCTGTCACAGCAGCTCGGTCGCCGCCATCATCGCGAAAACATCCGAGATGAGGACATTCACAATGCTGCCGGCCGCGTATCAAAATGTGAATTAGAGGTTGACTTTCACCGCGACGCCATCCTCAACCACCACACCCTCCCCTCACCCAATTTGGCTGCCCCCGACGCAGGTGCCACCCCCGTGCCCCAGAATCCAGGTCTCACCGCACTGTGGGATGATGAGCGATTGCGACGCCAAGCCCGTGGTGAAAATCCCCGGTTTACTCCACCACCAGAATTTGCTCGGCCCCGACCACCTCACCCTGCGCTGTCGGTCAATGAGCGACGCTTTCAGGACCTCTTGCAGGCCTCTGCTGCTGCTGACCGCCTGGCCGTGGTGGACGATGTGGCACTAAGGGAAATCGGTCGCCACCTCGGCCCCAATGCCAGCGCCACGCAGCCCAGCGCAGCAGGATCAACTATCGAGTCCAACCCCTCACAATCGTCTCTCGAGGCAGCGCTTGCTCTGGCGGGCCTCTTCGCCGCCCCGGCCACCCATGAAGCAAATCTGGACCAGAAGGACCTGTCTGATGACAAACACCAGGCGCCTGAGCTTGACAATGCACGGTGGGCCGATGAAGACTGGGACAGCGTGTTGCACGATGACTTTGAGGACGCCTTGGGCACCGCCGGAACAAGCCCGCACGACGTGAGAGCGAACAAGTTGCCGGAACCCAATGCCTCGCGTCGTGGTCAGATGTTGCAAGATGAGGAAGACGATGAATCGCAATACATGAGCCAAACTTGGTCCGAGGAAGTGCATGATTTTTTGCCCTCTAATTCGGTGGAGGGACCTCTTCTCGCTGCGCCCACGCCGACGTACAGCGTACCCCGCGCCCCCGTACACGACGCGACCCCTGGCTCTGCTGCGCCCCATGACGAGCCTGAAGACAGTGACACGGGGAGCGAGGACGATGGCCAAGTTTCGAGTGATGTGGTACCTGACACGGCATCGGAAGGCTCTTTGCCACCCCCGGTGGGCCCACAAACACCCCCGCTGACAGCTCGGCGAAGTGCTGGGCAACTGCAGGGCCTGCCAACTCACGAGACAAATGCCTTGTATGCGTGGGGTTTTGCTTCACCACCCCCTGAAGACCGCATACCCTCGCCACCCTGCCCCATCTCCCCGGTGCCCTCGCCCACGCATGTGCAACAAGAGCATCGCGCTACCAACGCCGTCTCCACCAATTCCGTCCCTGCTGCCCGCCCCATCGCTCGCGTTTCAGCACCTGAGAGTGCGCTGTCATTGGACGATTTGGTCAGCGACAGCAGTACGCCGACTGGTCTGGGGCACAAATCAAGTGCCCAGAGCCATGACGCGCTTGCTTGGCTGGCACCTGCCACCATCCCACCCAGCAGCCACACAGCCACACCTGTGCGATCGTTGACCATGCCCCGAGCCCCAACCACCGAGGTCATTGCAGCCACCTTGCCCATCATGTTCGCGTCTCTGCCCGAGCCTGCGCCATCCCCGTCCCTTTCCCCTTCCCCGTCCCCGTCCCCGTCCCCCCAGCCGGTGCCAACGCCTGGCTTCCGGGCGTGGCGATTTGCGACGCCGCCCCCAGCACCAAGCACTGTGGCTCAGACGCTGCGCCAACGCGGGCTTGACGAACAAATACACCAAGCACCCTATTTTTCCGACCGAGCAGACATGCCGCAGAACCTGCGTAACGTCGATGGCTCACGACAGCGGTTTGCGGGCCCCTTTGGCACCCACCTCACGCCCTTTCATTCAACCACGGCCCTGTCTGGGCTTACGCGTGGCCCTAGTCCAAGGCGCCCTCTGCCTGGCACGAGCTTGGACAGCGCCCATCGGCACAGCCATCGTTATGCCCACGGCTTTCATACCAAGCGATTTGTCTTCATCACACCAGCCCGTGCCCCACCAACATGCTCGCACGTGGCAGGAGCTGCAACAAAGGTTCGAATGGTCACGCGTGGCAGAGCAGAGGCACATGCATATCTTCCGCAACCGTCTGTGCGCGCTGCTGGGGCCCTTGACCTTCTCTCACTTGGCAGCAGTGTAAGCAGTGCAGGTCCAATCGCTGCAACCCCCTCGATTCCGCACGCAATGTCCGCTCAACTATCTAAGAATGATGACCCCTATGCAGCGGGCTCACACGCCCGAGTTCAAGGGCCAGCCAACGCTGCCACATTTGGGTTTGACCTCGCAACACAGCACTTATCCGATGCAACGTTGCTACAAGCACAACAGCACGTGACTGTCGTTAGCTTGGAGCTGCACAGTCATTCGCAGGGGGCACGGGAATCTGACCCGCGCCACGACCCAATATTAGCCCTTATTCTGTGCGCGTGGTTTGACGATACGATTCAGCCGCTGCGGCAACGCAAGCTTGTCCTGTGGTGGGGTGCAGCGGACACGGAACCCGAACACGAGCGCTGGGGCCTCCCAAACTTTACAGGCGTCCGTTTCGACTCGGAAGAGTTGCTTCTGCGCGGCCTCGTGGATCGCATCTTGCGTTGGGATCCTGAAGTTCTCGTGGGCTATGAAGTGCAGATGCGTTCGTGGGGCTACCTTGTCGAGCGGGGATGGCACCTGGGGGTGGATGTGTGCATGGAACTTTCACGCATTCATGAACAGCCCACCCCTGAGAAGAGTCGGCTCGATCCGCACGGTTACCACGCGCGCAAGACCTCGGAGCTGCGCGTACCAGGTCGCATCCTCCTCAACCTGTGGCGCATCATGCGGCACGAACTGGCGCTCACCTCTTACTCATTTGAGAACATTTGTTACCACGTGCTCCATCGCCGCGTGGCGCACGTGCGCCAGCAGCAGCTTCGTGACTGGTACCAGAGCGCCTCCACGCGCCATCGCTGGCGTACGCTACACTACTTGGGCGTGCGTGCTGAGGGCAGCCTGCAACTATTGTATGAGCTGAACATTATTCAACGCACAAGCGAATTTGCCCGGCTCTTCGGCATTCTCTTCAACGAGGTACTGACGCGTGGGTCGCAGTTTCGTGTTGAGAGCATCATGGTGCGGCTTGCCCATCAGCGGGATCAGATCATGCTCTCCCCCTCCAAGGTGCAAGTGCGAGAGCAGCGCGCGCCAGAAGTTGTTGCGCTCATTTTGGAGCCAGAGTCTGTCTTTTATGAATCGCCAGTTGTCGTGCTGGACTTTCAATCCCTCTACCCCTCAATGATGATTGCCTACAACATGTGCTACAGCACCTGCCTTGGCAAGGTCAGCTCAGAATCGGTGATGCGCTGTGGGGACCTTTACCGCTCCTTTGCTTTTGCTATTGGCGTACATGCTGTGCCCGTACATTCATGCGTGAGCGCATGCTTTATCCTACTTGCCCTGATTCATAAATGTTCACGTGTACATAGGTGCCGGCGGGAACGCGCAAGCCTGGTGAGCCCTTCAAGTTTGGCGTCTCGGATCTGCAGCTACCTCCAGGCCTATTGAGTCGCCTGGTGGCGCAGGACTTGGTCCATATTTGCCCCAACGGCACTATGTAGGTTCCAAGCTGTCGTGCTCGTAAGCCTCGTTGCCGCTCGTACCTGATGACCGATCTTTGGCGCACATGACCGCTTGCAGGTTTGTCAAGTCTGAAGTGCGTCATGGAGTCCTGCCTGTCATGCTTGACGAGATTTTGCGAACCCGGGTGATGGTCAAAAAGGCCATGGGAGGGGAACCGGCAGGCGGAGCAGCGCACCGTCTCATGAACGCGCGCCAGTTGGGCTTGAAGCTGATTGCCAACGTTACATATGGCTATACCGCAGCCACCTTCTCCGGCCGCATGCCCTGCGTGGACATTGCCGATGCCATTGTTCAGCAAGCTCGGGAGACGTTGACGAAAGCCATGAAGGTGGTTGAGACTCACCCAGACTGGCATGCCAAGGTAAGTTGCCGCTGGAAAGCCACGCCCGCACTCATTCAATGTCCATCTCATGGCATCACCGGATGTACCTGCTGCACTCGCCGCTCGTAGGTGGTGTATGGCGATACGGACTCGATGTTTGTGCTCTTGCCTGGTGCCACCAAGGAAACGGCCTTTCGCATTGGCCGTGAAATGGCTGCCACAATCTCTGCCCAGTATCCAGCACCCGTCCGCCTCAAATTCGAGAAAGTGTACCTTCCTTGCATCTTGCAGACCAAGAAGCGCTACGTCGGCTACATGTATGAAACAGAGACTCAGACAGAGCCCGTTTTTGATGCCAAAGGCATTGAGACAGTGCGCCGCGATTGGTGCCCGGCTGTGACAAAAACGCTGGAGAGATCTCTGCGCATCCTCTTTGAGAAGCGTGATCTGTCGCTTTTACGTGCCTATCTCACGCGAGAATGGATCAAGCTACTCAAGGGCGAGTACGTACCATTTGGTGATGCCGGTAGACTCGCGACTCGCTCCCCCACTTGTCTTCGGGTGGATGGAGATCTGATGCCTTGACTTTGACCAACTGTCGGATGCGTAGATTTAATTTGACCGACTACATCTTTGCCAAGGCCTACCGAGGTCGTGAGTCGTACAGCTCCAAAGCCTGCGTGGCTGCTCTTGAAATTGCCAACAAGTACGAGCCACCATGCGAGACGAGTAGCACACTCTCACCCGCCCGCGATCGCCTTTGCTCATGCACGTGCACTTGCCTGGGTGGCAGACGAGCTCGGGTGGACCCGCGCGCTGAGCCACGCGTGGGTGAGCGTGTGCCATACGTCATCGTGTGCGGCCCGCCAAAAGCCACACTCATTACGCTCGTCCGGCAGCCCGACGAACTGTTGAGTGACAGCAGCCTCAGGCTCAACGCTCACTACTACATTCGCAAACAAATCATTCCCCCGGTGCGTGGAGGGAGTCACTTTGTCGGGCTCGCCGAGCACAACCATCGCTTTTTTTTTTTTTTTTTTTTTTTTTTTTTTTTTTTTTTTGCTTTGTTTTTTTTCTGACGACTGCGCTTTTGTCATGTGTGGGCTGTAGCTGGAACGCTGCTTCAACCTACTTGGTTTGAGCGTAATTCCATGGTACACAACTCTACCCCGCGTTGAGCGTGCCGGTGGCATGGTCAGTGATATGGCCTCCCACGTACACAATCGACACACGTTGTCCCAATTTTACGCCAGCGCACACTGCATCGTGTGCGATGCCTTGACTCGGGGTCGCTTGTGTTCCGACTGCCATCGCGACCCTCAGCGATCCGTGGTGAGTCCCTCTGCCTTGGATCAGCCGTGGCTGCCAGCCTCAGGACGCTTGTGCGCCTATTGATTTCTTAACGGTGTGCTATGCTCTGCTGGGCGCTTTGACACAGACCATCCTGATGGCTCGAGTCAAAAAAGCACAGGATCGCTTGAGCGTGCTGGATCGCATCTGTCGACGCTGCATGCATGCGTGGAATGCTGATCCTGATGCATGTTGTAGCTTAGCCTGTCCAGTCATGTTTGAGCGTCGTCGTCAACAACAGCGTTTGGACGTTGCTCTTCCCATCTACTACGAAGAGTTTGGCGATCCAGACCCACCTGTACATAGCCATCATCCATAAAAGCATCAGTAGTATTGAGTTGTGTTCCTTGAGTGAGGCACCCACTGCTGCTCCGAAAGGTTTCTGTAAAGTTTTGATATGACTGACAATCCCAAGTAATTTAACGCGTTTGATTGACCGACAATGTCATGTGAATGCAAATCAACAAAACGCGGGTGAGCATGAAAATTCACGCATAGATATGGTTAAGCAAGACACCAGGGACTTGCCAGTACCAGAGCACACGATACAATAACAAAGATAGAACAAGCATGTGGACATTAAACATTGGGCTAGCGGATGATGAAAAGGAAGAACGCACGAGCCAGGATGAGGCCGTGCGCCAAGCCATGGTAGAGGGATGCTTCTACCATGCCGACTCGGTAGCCAAGAGCAACCCGCCTCTGCCGCGCTCACGGGGCTTTACTTGCCGCGCATAATACGCGCTTGCAGGCAGGCAAAGATGGTCAAGATCATCTTGGGCTTGACCTCGACAATGTCTTCGGGCAACGCGTAGACACCAGCGCCAACCTTGCGGGCCAGGGAGACGGCCAACTTGGCGTTGGCGATTTTCTCCTCTTCCGATGAAGGGGGGTCATGAACCATGTCTGCGCGCACAACTCCGGGACGGATGGTCTCGAGAATATGGAAAATGGGCAGGCTAGTGCTGATGTAGTCGTCCTTGAAGCTGGAGATGGTGGGCTTGCCAGCGCCGGTAAGACGCTCGTTGATGAACGCAACAATCTCCGCATCTGAAATAAGAGCGTCTGAGCCCGAAAGGGTTTGCAAAATTTTGATCGTGTAGCCGCGCATGAGCTGCCAAACAAAGCCCAGGATGAGAAGCTTGTTGCCCGCGTAAATGTCTGAGCCACCAATGCCAACGAGGCTCAGGCCGAGCTGCTTGCCCAGCTCCACGGCATAATTGCAGTTCTCAATGCTCTTCATGTGAGCCTGAAACTTTTTAAAGGGGGGCTTATTGACGCGCTTCTCCCAGTCGACTGAACCCGGCTTGACCTTGTCGATAAGTTGCAGCAGAATGATACCGTGGTTGAGGTCTGAGTAGAGGCTGTACACAAAGGGGTTCACGCCAAGCGAGTTCATCCAGTTGCGGAAAGTGCGCTCCTCACGCGTCTCGCCATCCACATCGTTGAGCTCATACTCGCCGGCGTTGCCCTCGACGTGCAAGGCTGGGAAGTTGTTGAAGAGGTTGGCCACGAAAGCAAGATTGAGCTTGGGATTGCCCTTGACAATGTCGCGAGCCGTCACAAACTTGCGGCAGCCAAGCTTATCGGCGTTGTTGAGGACAGCTTCAGCCCGCTGTGTGTCGTCAAGAATGTCCAGTGCGGAGGTGTCTACCCCATACTCGGCAGGAGCAATCTGAGCGAGCAGGAAGGTGTATGCCTCCGAGTCCTAAAAATTCAGTGACGAGCAGGTACGGTGTGTGACCAAGGGCGGTGAGAAGCGTCGTGATATGCGCGGCAAGCAGGCTGATAAGCAAGCCAGCCAAGAGCACTCGCGATTTGAAAAAAAAAAAAAATTGGAAAAAAAAAAAAAAAAAGGGGGGCTTGATTCCAACGCACCTTGATGTCACCGCCAAAGTTAGAAATGCGTTTGGCGGTACCGGCACGTTCAAGGTGGTAGTTGACCCAGCGCAAAAGCTTCTCCTCTGGAGAGAGCGCGAGGAAGTCGCTCAGCTCTTCGCCGTCAAGCAGAAGGGCCGTCAGGCCGGGCACATCGCGCACGTTGATCTTGGACAACAAGCCGATGCGAATGATTTGCCAAAGCAGACCCAAGACAATGTGTGGGGTTCCATCGATCAAGTCCTGGGCCCCAATGTTGGTGATATTGACACCTACAAGCGGTGCCGCACACACATGCAGGGGCAACAGTCGCCACAAGTGAGCATCAGAGACATCCAAGAAATTGGGACATCGGCCACTCCTTGTGCAAGGCGTTGAGCTGGTGCGGCGACCTACCAATGGCAGCAGCACTGTTGACGTTGAGGGTCTGGTTCTCGCCAATGTTGAAGGTGTTGAGGTTGCTCTTGTTCAGGGCGCGCTCATCGATCGTATCACTCACGGCTGAGTTGATGAGCTTGGCCACGACCAAACCGTTGTGCACTGCCTTGAACAGCTTGTCCGGATGGTCCTACAGTCATCATCCCAAAGACAATGAGAGGCAGGCTACGGTCAAGAGGCGTATCGACGAGGAGGAGTGTCTCGTACATTGGGAATGGGCAGGACGCTGCTGAGATCCGGGTCCTCAGCCAAGGTATAGTTGATCCAATCGGCAAAGGCCACCTGCATACCAAGGATCACCAAAAAGAAACCATACATAAATAAAAAATAAATAAAAATGAAAAAAAGGTGGCTCGGATGACCGGGACATACCGTCTCTTCATCACTGTATGAGTGCGTCGTGGCAGCTGCTGAAGCAGCACTGGTGCCGCCCATCTTCTTGATGTTGGCACGAACCTTGCCTGACGCATGATGCAAGCACAAGTACGGCCAGGGGAAGTGGGGGATGGACGGGCATGAGAGTAGGCGAGCCAGGTTTCAATGTGACTCATTGTTTGATCGAACATACCTTGGAGACGATAAAGGGTACCAGTGCCACGGCCACCGCTCACCCGGGCCTTGCGAATCATGTTTAGAAACTCATCAAATTCGATGGTGCCAGACTTGTCCGCGTCCACTTCTTCAATCATCTGCCGCAGTTGATAGCTGATTGGGCGGCATCAAGCAGACCGGTGAAAATACCATTTTTCAATCTTCAGCTCCATGAGCGGTCTTTGCTTCAGAACTGCGAGTGCCACGACCACGACCACGACCACAAGGTCGACTCACCCTGGTACGGCTTCACCGATCTCGCGGAAGAGTTCCTTGAGTTCGTCGGCGGTCACATGACCGTTGCCGTCTTTATCAAAGTTGGCAAAGGTCTCCTTGATCTCCTTCAGCTCATCCTCCTTGAATTGGATGGATTGCCACTCCACGTTATCGGATGCCATGACGCTGGATACAGGCACAAATTGCAGGGCGGGGCCCTGGTGGGGAGGCGCAACGTGGAGCATGGCTGATGGTGAGCATGGACCACCGTACTGGATAGAAGGTGTTTGGCGGAACGCAAAAGAGTGATGGAATGGGTGGGCAGAGATGGGCCTTGCTATGCGTTGACTGTGCACGAGTTTCAATGGAATTGAGCAGAGCAAATTGAAGACAGCAGCAAGAGAAGAAAAATGACTGGAAATCGGCAGCACGAGGATGGTGTTTGGGCAAGACGCAGCGAGATTGGGAGGAGGGACAGCGCCAAGGCATGCACAAGACTGTGTGGGGAATGCATCGTGCCCCTGGCTCGATGCAAGGGCCGAGATTGAACGGAAGTTTAAGTGGAACACGCGGTCCCCCTTGATCATCTGGACCAACGAGCAAGGGCGCACGCGCTTGGTCCACGTCTGTTCGTCCGCCGCGACGAAGAAGTGTCATCACATCATGATCAAGGGGCTGGCAGCGCATCTCAAACAGTGGATTGGGGAAGGGGGAAACACGGTAGACCATTATGATGGTGTTATGATGGTGGATAAGGTGGGATGCTGAACGCGCAGAAAGACGAACGGACAAGATAGTCAGCCTCTAGCGCGAGCGTGGCTACCCTCCCTCCCCATCTCGGGGCGGGCATAGGAAGGTAGGAACGCGATCAAGTTGTTGCGCGGCGCCAGGGCAGTTGTGTGTGTGTATGTGTGTGTGCGTGTGTGTGCGCGCGTGCGTGAGCGAATGTGAATGTGAATGCTGTCGAATGGCTGAGGGAAAAGTCGAATGCCAATGGTTTTCAAAGGGGCAGGAACGCGCGCGAGAGCACGAGCTCGAGCGCATCATCATCACCATCAGCAGCGAAACGTACAGAATGAGAAACGATTCCGTGCTCTGGTCACGTCACAAGGCACCTGTAGCGAGCCAAGCACCACCATGGCGTGAGCACAGCGGCAGCGCGTGAACGATATCCAACAGCCAAAACCAGCCAGAAAAGGCGGGCGGACCGCCAATCGGCAGAACCCGGGCAGACAAAACGAGCAGGTGGTGGAGGAGGGGGCGGTCACTGACGAGAGATGGAAAACGTTGTTGTTTTGTGTGATCTCTTTCTCTCTCTCTCTAAATCTCTCTCTCTCTCGCTCTCTCTCTCTCTCTCAAACTCTCTCTCTCTCTCTCAATCTCTCTCTCTCTCTCTCTCTCTTTTCTCTCTCTCTCTCTCTCTCTCGCTCTCTCTCTCTCGCTCTCTTTTCTCTCTCACGCCTAGTCAGCATCCAAATGCCGGTTCTCTCACTGTTTTCGCGAATTAAAACGTCTGGCAAAGGGCTGACATTGGGTATTTGTCAGACGAAATGACTACCAAGCGTTCTCAAGCTGTAACGGATGGTAACTCATCTTCACACGAAGTGTGGATTCGTTGAAGATAAATTATACCCCTCGGATCTAAATTTGAATCGGCGGCCACAACAATCACAAACAGTCGAGCTTCTGCCCCACCCTGTCAGATCCGATTATGGCCGAGCCATCACACGAGCCTCAGGAAACAGGTTGGCTGGTCAGATAGTACACTGAACGAACACCATCAACCACACACACACACACACACACACACACACACACACACACACACACACACACACACACACACACACACACACACACACACACAGACTGCCAATTTGTTAAAGCAAACCGCTGGGTGTATTGAGAAGAAGGCCGCCACTTGCCCTCAAAGCCTCCCACCACCCTGTCACTGTTTTTTGTTGTTGTTGTTGTTGCTGTTGCTGTTGTACATTTATTTCAGTTTGAATTATTTTCGCTCTCCTTGCTCTCCGAGTTCTCTCTCTCTCTCGCGCGCGCTGCCCTCTCTCTCTTGAACTCTCTTGAACTCTCTCTCTCTCCCTCTCTCTCGCTCCCTCTCTCTCTCTCTCTGTCTCTCTCTTGAACCCCGGCCGTCTTTCTCTAATGTTACCTTTGTGATTGTCTTCTTGGGCTTTTGCCGGCGGTGATTCAATCCCTGACTGTCTTGGCGCTGGCCGGCTCGCTCCGTACTTCACCAACTAGGCGGCCCACCACTACCACACAACTCATCGCACTGGTCGGGTCGTGCTGGCATACATTATTGTCCAACCTCAACAGCAGGGCCGTTCAGCGATACCCCGCCCCCTCTGCAGCGGGCAGGCAGTATGGTCCGCTGGAGACGCGTCACGCCGGTCTTCGCCCAGCCTTTTTCATCGAGGACGAGTCCCCCTTCACCTTCGCCTCGCCGTACCCAACACCAGCCGATCGCAACACTTCCGGCGTTCTGATTTCAAGCCCGTCGCCCAGTCCAGTTCATGCACACACCATCATCTTGCCTACCATCAAGCACGATCAATAGAGACTCACGACCGAACTCATGTGTGCCACTGCTCCCCGAACACTGGTTGCCCGCTGTGCTCACCTGCGAGCCCACATGGCTTTCGCAAATGTAAATCTGAGCAGGAGGCAGCGGCGAGCCCTCTCTTTCTACGACGATAGCATTGCCAACACTGCCCGTCTCTCATATCCCCCGGTCTCCGTATCTGACCTCCTGAACTTCTCGTCCAATGTCGAGCACAACCAGCTGCAGACCGGCATCCTCCTTTACAAAATTCTGCCCGTTCGTCTGGCCACCCGTATCATCGATATTCACGACCTGCCCTACATCTGCGGCATCAACCCCTTCATGCAGTTTATCCACAATGACTACGTCAACGTCTTTATGCAAATGAAGGCCATCAAACACATCAAGACGCAAGCGGACCTTAGCAAATTCAACACCCTCATGATAGAGGGCCTGAAACAGGGCAACTCGGCCCTCCCTCAACTTGCTCGAGCCAGCAAGGAACTTGCCCCGCACTTGGCCCCAGAAGTCCTGAACCGCTTTATTAACCGCTTCATTACCTGTCGCATTGGTCGGCGCCTTCTTGCCGAACAACACCTTGCCATCATCCAGCAACATCTCCATCCCCAGCCTCACTCGCATCTCATCGGCGTTATCGACCACGATGTAAACATTCGAGCCGTCATCAAAGCCACCTACAAGCGAGCGTTCCTGATTTCGCGCGATGTCAACGGCCTCAGCCCCCACATGGACCTCAACATCGAGCAGACCACCGCCTTGCCTTATGTAAGCTACCTCTACCCTCGCTATCCATCACTGCATTCGTAAGGGTGAGCCACGCTCTGTTCCTCGTCACATGCCCTCACAATCGCGTGTGCATCACCCCACGCACCCGTTTGACCCCTGGCCTCGTGACCCTGGCCTCATCAGGTTGTCCGACACATTCAATACATCCTGCTCGAAATCTTCAAGAATGCCATCCGTGCCACTGCCGAGCGTGCCATCCGAGACTCGACTCGTTTTCTGGACGAAGACGACATTCCCCAAGTTCAGGTCACTGTCCACGGTGGACCATCGGAGACAACCATCATTGTTTCGGACAAGGGCGGCGGTATCTCCCAGGACCACCAAGACCGCGTCTTTGACTTTGCCTTTTCCACCGCCCAGGGCCTGGATGCCGCCTCGCTGCTTGAGCAACCCCAGGGAGTGGGCGACTATGCCAACCGCCCCATGGCTGGCGAAGGATTTGGTTTGCCCATGGCCCGAGCCTACGCCCGCTTTTTCGGAGGTGACATTTCATTTCAAACCATGCAGGACCATGGAACTGACGTCTACATTAAGCTGCGCCACGTGGACCTCAAGGGCACCCAGAACATCCTCCCCGTCTGAGCCAGCTCTCCTCTTTGTTTGATTGTTTGCGAGATTCAACCCCTAGTCGTGTGTTCCTGTTTGTGTCCGTGTCTCCCCTAACGCGTGGTATGTGCTTTGCTTGCGTCCACAACGTGTGGCTGTCTGTCCACCTGTCCGCCTTTCCGTCTGTCCGTCTGTGTCTTCGTGTTTTAAATGTGTCTATTATCGAGTTGTCGGTCCGTTTGTTGGACATTCGTGTGCACCAGCCATCACGCGGCTGCTGCTTTTCACTATTCCTACCTTCTTCCCGCTTGAAACTTCTGCCCGTTTTGCCTGATTCCCCCATTTCCCGACGCTTCGTTTGCTCGGGCCAACATGACCGACTGGCGCCTGCGCCCCAGAGTGGTGGCGACGTGTGGCTGCGGCTCCTCTTTCCGATTCCGACTTGGTTTTCTGTTGTTCTTGCCACTTGGCGCTGCAACCGCGGCTCCACATTGAATGACACACAGCAGCGTCTCCTTCTGATTGATGATTTTGAGAGTCATACACAGACAATAACAAAATCGTTCAAGAGCCATATTCAGCCCGTGCGAGGGAAAAGGTTCTCCAGTTTACAGTTTGCAGCCTTGGCTTGAATTGTTTGGCCATGTTTGAGCAGACGAACCACACATAGGCTCGGCATAGGCTGCATCCACTTTCTTCTTTCAAAGCCGAAGAGGCGAACATGTGTTTCAAAAACTGCACGCACATGTCAATTAAATTAAAGGGCTCAAATTAAAGAGTGGTGGTTTCAAACGCCCGCAGGGCAATCACATATATGACAACGCACCACGAGCACGTTCAAGAGCAAGCAGATGTGAACGGCTTGTTTGCAAGATTGAGGAAATCGCTCGAAAAAGAAAAAAAAAATTCAAAAAAAATTCAGAGGAAAACTAAAGTAAAATCCTTGAAAGTCGAACGTCCATGACCGGACTCGAGGACGGTAGACAGATGTTACGAGCACACCTCGCCTCCTGCCAGCGTATAGCGACATCGCTCTGCGCATGCACATCCCAAGAAACCACATGTGTATGATGCGAGACGTGAGCATGACGACAAGCAATGAAATCATCGGGATAGGTTTGAGAATCGTACGTTTGGCACCATTGGCAGCTTTGGCCTTTTGGTTTGACCTTGTTGATGCCTTCTGAGATTGCGCAGATGACTTGCCCGGGCTTGCTGTCTGTCGAGACTTTGTGCCTGACTTGCTCTTTGTGCTTGACTTGCTCTTTGTGCTTGACTTGCTCTTTGTGCTAGACTTGCTCTTTGTGCTTGACTTGCTCTTCGCACCTGGCCTAGCCTTGGAAAATCTACCGAGCCAAATTACCGATAAGAACAGAAGGTACACGTCCTGCATCTACAAGCCTGTCAAACGTATGCGTGAAACAAAACACCACATACCTGTTGGGTGAGGCTGGAGGAGGCGGCGTGGGCTGATCGCCAAACAGTCCCCCAAACGCGGCGCCAAAGATGTCGTTAATGGCACCAAACGGGTTGTCTGTAAAAAAACAAAAAACAAAAGAAAGCAAACCAAAAAGCGGCAAACAGGCATCAAGTCCAGTGCGCGCATGGTAAAAAACAAACAAACATTGACACAGAGCGACACAGGTGGCTGCTACCCAGGACATGCCATATGCGGAAAGCTCTCATACCTGCACCTGCAGCGTCTGGACCGGTGTGCCTGCGTTCGGGCACATGTGCAAACCTTGCCCTATCACCAGACCCTTGCGTCCGTCGAGTGCCTACGCGGACGCGCAGGATGGTTCGTTGGAAAGCATGCCCAGTCAACCGCATGCACCGAGCAATTGTATAGGGACCACAAAGTAACGAGGAAAAAAATTTATCGAGTCTTACCGGCTGACGAGCGTCGACGCTTTTGACCAAAGCTTCCAAAGTTGAAATCACGAAACAAGTTCTCGAAATCATCGTCGCCAGCGTCACCGGGCCGAGCTCCACCAAACGAATAGTGAAAGCTGCCTGGTTTGCCGCTCCCACCTCCCGTATTCCCACCAAAGAAGGACTTGAAAATATCATCAACATTAACGTCTTGATATTGCTTGGGCTTCCAAGCATACTGATCGTTGGTACCACGGTGAGGAGAGCCTCCATCTGGCCCGCCGCGCTGGTTGGGCGAGCCATATGTGTCGTATTCCTTGCGTTTCGTCTCGTCTCCCAATGTTTCGTAGGCTGCCATCAAAAAAAACGCAGAGGGGTCAATGAGAAACTCGAATGGCACACACTATGCCTCCAAAACTGGCTGCAAATGCCCTGTTATTCGGCAAAGCCACCTTACCGGCCGCGATGGCAATGAAATTATCTTCAGCGTTTGAGCTCTCGCGGTCTTTGTCTGGGTGACACTTGACGGACATGCGTTTGAAGTGCCTGCCAGACCAGGGAATGCAGCCGAGACACCCAGCATCAGCAAAAGTTGACACGATGTCACAGGGCCACATGAGAAGTGGTTATGGTGGAAGAGGTTTCTTTCAGCGACCGACGCACGACAACGTGCAACAAGGAAAAACCCACTTTTTGATGTCCTTTGCCGAAGCGCTGCGCTTTAGACCCAGAACATCGTAGAGCTTGCCACCCTCGTAACTTGCGCGTGCGGCATCACAGCTGGGAAGCTGGTCGTCTCCACGGCGTCCGTGCGCTGGCACGGCGTTCCAAGTCAATAGCACCAGCACTAGTAGAAACATGAGCGGGCGCGCTGCAAGTTTCCGCCCCCGTCCGAACCGCGAGCCGTGGCCTTTCATGGTGTCCTCCGCGATTGTTGGACAAAGTCGTGGCCAAGACGGCCGATCAATGATAAGGACTCAAAATGATTAGCTCGGGCAGTGAACGAATCTGAATCGAACAAGCGTGCTGCGTTCAAAGTGCGAAAATAATCCAGATGTCTCATCCGCAGCCAACTCTCGTATCTGTGCTGAATCCTCAACGCAAAAAATAATTGACACTGTGACGTCGTCGATGTTGCCAGCACCATCTCGTATGTGTGTTTGCTGTTTGTGTGTGAAGAGCAAAAATCTGACATTAGCCAACGTTGTTGTTGTTGCAGGAGCTTTGTGGAGCTTCACATGTCAAATATCCCATCGCAATCAACAAGGAAAAGGTTCATGCCGCCTCCGATTAATCAATGATAAAACAGCAAACGCGCAGTACAGGGAAGGTCAAAGACATCAAGGACTAGAACAAATCTAGGTTCTCAAGCTACTGGCTCTCATAAGCCTTTTAATCGAGTCCAAGCCAGTCCATGAACTTGAGAGCACCCTCGTAGCCAAAGAAGCAAGCTGCGTTGGCCGGGAAAGCGCGGACCATAGCCGCAGAGAAGCCGCGGAACAGCGCACGTGGGCCTGAAGAAGGCAGGCAAAAGGTGAGTTGTCAAGATGGCAGCCCTCGAGTTATTCTGGGCCCGGACTTGGGTGACGTACCCTCGTTGCGCATGATGTCGGCAAAGACGTGGTGAATGTTACCATACTTGCCCTCTGGGGCGACCTGTCCATCAAGACACCCACAGCGTCGTGAGACTGCCAGACTGTCCATCGCCTTGGAAAAAGAGCAAGCGCACAGGTGAGTTGGCTGACAAACCTGCAGGCGCGTCTTGAGCGTGTCGAGAGGAAGCATGGCTGTCCAGTTGAGCATGCCGGCAAGACCACCAGCCACAAGCGTGCCAACCACGCTCGGGGACGTCTATATTAAGTGGTAATTAAACAAATCAGCATTGGGGAAGTGAAACGAGGCGCTCATTGCTTGACCATTTGCCCTTGCCCATGACAAGCCTCGTGCTTCTGCAGCGATGCAGGCCACCCTAAACGCACCTGGCCCTCAGGCGTAAACAAAACCTTCAGGTACTCGTAGCTGCTAAAGTAAAAAGCCGAGCCCGTCCTGTAGTGGCAGCAAATCAAGGGGATGACATGCACATGGTAAGGCACAGAGGCAAGACGCGTAGCAAGCGGGCTGGGATAAGAAAGTGCATGTGGCCAACGCACGCATCACGCAGAAAGGTGCCAGTGAAGCCGCGGTTCACGGAGCGCAGACCGCCCTCCTTGTAGATTTTCTTGAAAGCATCCCCAGTGCCGCTGTACTTGGGGTTCTTGGGGTCCTATGGCCCAAATGGGTTGACATGAAGGTTGATGTATGTCTGGGGTGTCGATGTCTTCAAGATCAAACAATATGGCCTGCGCATGCGCAGAACATACCTGAGACTGCAAAAGGCACTTGACGCGTTCGCCGGGGGCCAGCAGAGGCGTGGTGAAAGCGGCAGACGTCGCACCGGCCAAACCTAGGAGTGGAGAAGAGAGGCAAGTCAGAGAAAGAGAGCAACGAGGAAAGGGGGGCTGGCAGTAGCTTTGGGTGCAGAGCTGCTTCTGATGTTTGGGTCACCAGCTCACCAATCTGCACCAGCTTGAGATTGTGGGGATCAAAGGCATCGGCATCGCAGAACATATCCTTGCCCACACTGCCAAAAGCGTCATGATGACCAGTGATTCGGTGAGCTTTGGTTGAGAGGGGGCGAGGCCAGGAAGAACCGGGTGCTTTTGAACACATGTTTTTTTTGGGGCCGTGTCAAACCAAAACATCCCATTGGAAAGTCAAAGATGACAAAAGAAAAAAAATCACATCAGCCATTGCAGGTGCACGTGCAGTCAGCTGTCGCTTAAACACGAGTGGATCGCGTACCTGTATCCAAAGAAGCAGAGCGCAAACATGGGTGTCACGCCGGCCAGGGGGGCCAAGACACCGTTGTAAAGGCCCCGGAAGCCTTGCTGCACTCGCCAGCACCGAAGAAGGTCAACAAGGTGAGGGATCGAGAATGGCTCGGAGTTATTTTTTCTTTGCCATGTGTTTTCTGGAGGGAGCGCATGTCATTGCGGTCAGTGGCGATTGACACACCTGCGCCAACGTTTGGCGGGCACAGTCCATGACACCAGTGTACTGAGGGCCAACACCAGGGGTCATGGTCTGGATCTTAACCTGAACGCGGCAGGCAAGTGAGCTGGCGCGTGTTCTTTCAGACTCTGCATGCGAGCCAGTGAGAGCCGTTTGAGGACGAGGGCTGTCAGTGCTACGTACCTTGACGGTATCAAAGGGGTGACCCACGACCACAAGAGCCGTACCACCGATGCCACCAGCGATGAAGGAACGCAGGTGGGAAGGCTGCTTGACCTCCTCGCCATGCGTCTGTTGGGGTGCTTCGACCTCGGCTGCCATTGTACTGTTGCCCCGAAAAAAAAAACTTGAAAACAATCGAAGATGGCAACAAGTGAAAATTGAGAGGAGAGAACATTGTAGCAACAACAGCTATTGCAGACAGAAGAGCAATGTCAGCGTTTTTGTGTCCGCGCGGAAGTGAGCACAAGTCGGGGGTTGGGCCTGAGCTGGGGCCAGGTGTTGGCGGAGCTCGTGTTGACCTTGAGATGCCCACGGCATGGCGTTGACGAGCAGGCGTGGGCGCCTCGGTCGGCCCGTGTGGGCCCTTCTTTTGCTGCTCTGCTGGGCTGATCGAGGCCAAGGGAGTTTCGAGCCCGCACGCACGACCTCGGCTTTCGAGCACAAGTGCAATCGTGATCGCGGGCCCATGCCTTTGGGACCGTTCCGCTGGATCCACTTTCCCAAGAGCGGGACCTCTTTTGCGACCACCTTGTACCATTTTATCTGCCCACGACTTCCTTCCGGTTGGTTTGCACTTCGATGTGCCTGTGCCCGAAACAATTGTGCATGTGTCGTTGTCACCATTTCCTGTACCTTAATGACGGCCACGCCGACCCTGTGTGGCCGATAGACCTAGTTCCGCAAGTGAAGGTATCTACCCTGGCCGAGTTCAATGCAGAGTACATTACTAGCGAAAATTGTGACTTACAACGCATGCTGCCGCCTCGCTACGGGCATACCCCTGTTCGAAAAGAGGACCTGCTCAACACTGGGCTGAAGTTTGTGGGGATGTTTCGAGATCCACGCACCCGACTCTGGTCCGCTTATCACAATAACCTCCATGCCAGCGGCATGCCGCGCTCACAGCGTGACATCATGCGCAAGAGCGTGACCGACCTTGCTAGCTTTGTGCGCTATCCAGGCATCGCCGGCTGTCAAACCAAGATGCTCATTGGCTTGGGCTGTGCTCAACAATTTGACCTCACGGAACAACACTTTCAACAAGCGCTGCACATCTTGCGCACTCGCTTTGCTTTCATTGGACTCACCGACGAGTGGGAAAATTCTGTTGCCCTGTTTCAATGCATGTTCGGAGGTACTCTTGATCCGAGTCACCTTGTGAATCTCAGGCCCACCGGCGCACGCAGTCATTACTCTGCCAGCGAGGCACAGCAACATCTCTCGTCGGATGTCGACCCTTTCGACTGGCGACTGTACCAATTTGCCCTCAGTTGGCACGCCAAGGCCATGCAAGCCTGGTTCGACCCTTCGCCGCCTTTATCATGAGCGGGCACAATCCCGCCCATGTGAGAAGAATAATAATAATCAAATCTTCTGATCAATCAAGCAGTCTCAGCTGTTACCTCTCGAATCCTACGTCCCCACCCACCTCGTTCCAACCTTATCCAGCTCAACATCCATTCAAACGTCAAAGGACCGCCTCGCGCTTGTCGGTTGCATGAACACGAATACCGCTATTCGCCGGCATTCATGAACAAGCAACACTTTCTCCTTTTTTTTTTTTTTGTGTGTGTGTGTGTGTGTATTGCAGCCTCTTTCCCTTGCTGACAATTATTTCTGTGTGTGTGTGTGTGTGTGTGTGTGTGTGTGTGTGTGTGTGTGTGTGTGTTTGATTTCATTTTATTCGACTCGTGTGACACGACGCAAGAGGTCTGTCCTGGCACCCTCGCCGAGCTCTCCCATGATGCCTGTGTCTCAGGCTGTTCTTGGGCGTGGATAGCCCCGGCTTGTTCTGCAAGCGCTTGACAGGGCCGTCGTCTAGTCATCTATGCGACAGATATACTCACTCCCACTGCCCCTCTTTCATTCGTGCCACAGGCTCGACCAAGTCCTAGTACAATGTTGCGCGCTCTTCGAGCCCTTCCCGCGCTGGGAGCAACCTGTCGGTTATGCATCCGACCTGCTGCCCCCACGAAGCTGACGGTAAGGCCATCCAAGCCGCGCCTTGTTTTCTCTCTCCCTTTTTACGGAGCCAACAGAAACACACTCACTCAGTCATTGCCTCTCGATGGCTGCTCTGCCCCACCAGTCGTTTCTCCGCAGCCCCGTGCGCTTCAATGCCACTGCAGCCACCCCTGCCGCTGCCGCCGATGCCGTCTCCTCCTTGCGATCCTCTCAGCTTCAAGTTGGCGCTTGGATGCTCGGCTGCACGTCCCTCATCTTCGGTGCTGTAGTTCTCGGTAGGTTTGCCGAGTCTTGTGGCTTGGATCGCAGTTTCTCTGCTTCACCTACTCAGCATGTACTGCCTAATCGGATTAGGAGGCGTAACCCGCCTTACGGAGAGTGGTCTCTCCATGACCAAGTGGCACCCCATCAAGGGCATGAAAGCTCCTACAACTCAGGCCGAATGGGAGGCTGAGTTTGAGCATTATAAGCAGTTCCCAGAGTACAAATAGTATGTTGGTGCTGCCCACCTGGGCTCATTCACCCATCAGACATCTACGACAACCAATCCTTGACTCAAGACAAGGCGTTTTCTCCGTGCCACCACTCACTTGCCTGCTCATTGTCTTCAGCTCTGTGGGTATGACACTCGAGGACTTTAAGCAAATCTTCTTCATGGAATACGCACACCGCATGTGGGGCCGTTTGATTGGCATGGCCTTCATCCTGCCCGGCGCTTACTTTGCCCTGAAAAAGAAAATTCAGCCGCAACTGCGTCCGGTACGTGCACTCGCCCACAACTGCGCTTGCTGACACTACACTGTTTGCCCAAACCCAGCCTTGTCGCGCTTACCACCAATTCTATTCTTTTTCTTCTTGGGCGATTCTCGCTCCAGGTTGTACTGGCTATCGGTGGTCTCATCGGATTTCAAGGCGTATTGGGCTGGCTGATGGTGAAGAGTGGTCTTGATGTAAGCCTTGAGCAAGATGCGGGCCCCGTCCAGGCCGTTCACAAAGAGAGGTTGAAAGAGAAAGAAAGAGAGAGAGTGGGCGTAGTACGACAACAACAACAAATGTATCAGCACGTGTGGGCAGCATGTGCCGGCGTCTTATGGGCTTGTGTTAAATGGTGGTTTTGCAGTATGATCCCCAAGGCAAACACGCGCCACGTGTCAGGTACCGTTTTATTGGCCCTTCTTGTCTTTCCGCCTGCCACTCGGTCAGGCGATCCAGGATGCTCACCGCCTTTGTCGGACACCTGCAGTCAATATCGGCTTGCCGCTCATTTGGGATCAGCATTTGTGCTCTACGTCATGACTCTATACACTGGCCTGCTCCACGTCTTGCCGGCACAGCCCCTTCAGGTCAGCATTCCTCATGGCACGTCCTTTCTTCTCTTCACCTCTCTGTCTCTTTGTAGAACTGGCCGGCTGAGGAAATTGTATTTTTTTCTTTTTCTTTTTCTTTTGAGCGGCTTGACCGAGCGTGTGTTGTTGTAACAGGGGGACCTGAAACGTCTCCGCACGTTTCGTAAGCTGGCGCATGGCATTGCCGGACTGGTCTTTGTGACGGCCATCTCTGGAGCTTTCGTGGCGGGCATGGACGCCGGCCTCATCTACAACGAATTTCCCTTTATGGGCGAGAGCCTGTACGTGTTGCGCAGCAAAATGCATGGCGCCGGACTCATTAGTTGCTTTCGGCAGCTGGCCAGCAACCTGAGCCTTGCTGACTGTCGTTGTCGCCACGCCTTGCCTGTGGGATCTTGCTCTGAACGTAGCGTGCCCACGGACATTAACGTTTTACAACCAATCTGGAAGAACGTGTTTGAGAACCCAGCCACGGCCCAGTTTGACCACCGTGTTTTGGTCCGTTATGACTCGTGGCCCTGAGCCCACGAAGCAGTATCACAAAGCTTAAGCAACGCTTATTCTCGTTTTCATCTTGTGCTTCCACTTGCAGGGCACAAGTACTGGTCTTGCTGTGGCGGGTTTGTGGGCCTACGCGCGCAAACTGTCACTCCCACCTCGTGCTCGTATTGCCACGCACGCCATGCTGGGCATGGTCGCCGTTCAGGTTCGCCTCAGCCCCGCTTGCAGTTGCGCGCGATTGGATGCAGGAAAATTTGAGTGCAAGATTTGGGTCACAACAGCACGCGTTGGTCAGGCACCTCGCTTACGTGCTCGATGTTCCTTGGACGCTGCTAGATTACCCTTGGCATTAGCACCTTGTTGTACTTTGTCCCCACCCCCCTCGCTGCCACCCATCAAGGTTGGTTCTGCCTGCATTCATCTCTTTCGGCGGTATACCCATGTCAGCTGTCCTCATGCATCAATTTTTGTTCGCCGATTGGGTTTGGGGTCATCAGCCGGTTCTTTGGGATTGTTGACGTTTGCAACATGGTTGCTCTATGAGCTCCGTGCTGTTCCCAAGTAAAACATCATAATAATATGATTTGATCCGGCAGCAAAACTACCACCATGCCGCCAAACTCCTCTGGCTATGGGTTGATGGCAAGGAAGAGGAAATTACATGTTCAAAGGCCGCACGAGCATGCTCTCATGTACCTTCACACAGCACACTCATCACCTGCATTTTTGACATGCATGACATTTGGATGTAATTTGTTGTTGTTGTTGTTGTTGTTGATGTTTGACACACACCAATCATAAAAGCAATGAAGGGAGCAGAGCGAATGGCCTGGGCCTTGAGCCTGATCTTGATTGTGGGCAGCCCTCATCTGGCCACAGCAAGATGGATGACTGACACCACCCTCAACTTGAGTGAGGTCACATGGTCGCCCGAAGCTACCAAGGTAGAGAGCAGAAGACTGGCTCTTCGCTCGGCAACTCGGCTCTTTTCTTCTCTCGTGGGCTCATCATCGAGCCGGCGCTCTCGTGGGTGTTAGGTCTATGTTGGATCGCCCACTATACTACGCTGTCCCGGAGATGGTAGCCTGCTGGCTTGCGCAGATCGTTTCGGGCCCGGAAGTCACAACTCCAACGTCAGTGTTTTTCGCTCCCGAAATGGTGGTGCCGATTGGGAGCTGCTCAGCTGGGTGGTTGATCAGTACTGGTACGTATTTAGCCGCGAGCCGGGGCGGGCGTAGCATCCACACCCTTGTCCACCTCCCGACCTCGTCTTCCATAGTCCTTGCTATATTTCCGAGTCCATCAAGACATTGGTCATGAGGCTCATAGTCGCACAATCTGGTCGACCCATAGGAGCAATCTATTCGCAGTGGACGATGTCATCTATCTCCTTGGAACAACGTCTGGCGGAGCTTCAAATGTCAAGATCGCTGCCTCACGCGATTGTGGTATGACTTGGGAAGGATCAGTGCTCATCAACCACACCTCTGCAGGTGGCTTTGAGACGGGACCCACACCCACGCTTCATGCACAAGGTCGCTATTGGCGAGCCATGGAGTTTATGGTTCCACCATACTCGTGGCCGGTCAGTTATCAAGCCACGGCTCTTTGGGCCGCGGACAATTGCTCCTTGCTTGATCCTGGATGTTGGCACCAAACGGCTCCTGTGCCTTTCAACACTTCCTGGTTGCCCTCAAATTGGACCCTTCCCCCAGAAGCTCCAGGTAAGAGGGGGATCCTTTGGGACCGCCTTTGTTTTCTGTCACCAGGCTCATAGTATTTCCTAACCAGGTATGCCACATGGTTTGCACAGGCTATCTCGAAGGGAACATGGTTGAGGGACCAGACGGCACCGTGTACAATATCTTACGCGTCAACAACAAGCCAGCAGCTCTCGGCAACTACGCCCTTGCCCTTCGCTACGTGCCAGCCTCCAACACGCTAGAATTTGACCGCCTGTTCCACTTCCCCGGTGGGCACAGCAAGTTTACCATCCGTCGCGATCCCCTCTCTGGCCTCTACCTGTCCTTTACCAGCAACAACACAAATATCCTGTACGCGTGGGGCGGGAAAAAAAAAGATGAAAGCAAAGGCAGGCTGGGGTGCCCACCTTGTCCGCATTGGAGTCTTGATTGTCATTCAAATCACACGACCCGCTTTGCTCGGCCACCCTCAAACAGGTACACAGATCAACGTAACATTTTGACGTTTACAGCCAGCCGCAACCTTTTCGACTGGGAAGTGATTGACGCCGTTCTTCACGTACGCTCCTCGATATCTGCCCTGCATGCTTGCCAGCCATGTAATACGGTCGCAACCGTATCTAACTGGCGCATACTTCTTGGGTCAAGAATTCCTTCCTAAAAGCCTCCTTCTTTAATTGCGATCTGCTGCGTTGTGCCTCAGGATGACACCGGTTTTTCCGAAGTTGACTCTGTGCGCTACACAGGCTTCCATTGTCAGTCGAGTCAAAGGCCTGGTCGAGCCCTCTCCCGAACCCTCCCGCAATTCGAATGCGTGTGCGGTCGTGGCTGCACCAACTTGTCTGCAAGCTCATGCCCTTGCACTGCGCAGACGTCGACTGGCAGTTTGATGGCAGCAACAACGAGAATATCATCTATGCCATCCGCACAGGCTATCGGTACGGCTGTAGTGCTCAGAGTAGAGCCTTCCTTCCTTCCTCCCTCCCGTCCGTTTTGTCTGCGCATGCACCACAATGCGCTTCTCTCAGCACCTTGGGCACACAACTCTGCCTTCTTGATATCGGGCGGCTGTGCTATCAGACTCAACTCAAATTATGTGCCTGTGCCCACATGCGTGTTTTGCTTCAGAGGCTCCGAGAGTTACCACAACAGCAATCGAATGACATTCAAGACCATGTCGAATTGGCGACAGCTTGTCGGCAGCCCCAAGGCCATTGCTACATCTGCCCAGATGGTCCCTAGGTGGGTGTCTGCCTCAGATGCGCAGCAGCAGTTTTATCGAGGTAGCTGAGAGCCTCTGAACCCTCCCCGCTGCCTTTTTTGCCGGTGACAGTTTTCAGCGTAGTGTTCAGCAATATCAGCTCTTGGTGACTTCACTTCCAGCTGCGCTCGACGTTAGTGACTTTGGGGGCCTTCTCAACAACCCAAGGCATATCCCCCTTCCCTTCTCGTCCCTGGCCTGAAGCATGGTTCATCTTGTGGTCCTTTCGCTGAGATTTCATAGGTAGTGTTGACTTACAGCCTGGGGTCTTACAGCCATAACAACAGCACCCTCCCTAGCGGAAAGCCCCTCTCAGTAGGTTGATTGGGGTGTGCAGTGGTTCATTGCGCGACGTTGTCGTGTCGTGGTGTTGTCTTCTCAGCTGTCATCCTCACGCCGTCGCCTTGTATGCGTGTAGTTGTCAGGGTTGGCCAACAACACTGTGGTGACCTTGACCAATGCTGAATTTGAAGTGGCAATGACATTTGTGGTTATTCAGCCTTCGTTCCCCGCCACACTGGCTCGCGTTCAAGTGCACGGATCCGATTATCGGATGGCCGCGCTTCACAATGGCAGTGTGGCCTTTTCTAACCGTGACTACGTTTGGGTGGACGTGCGTAGTGCCACCAAACCCTCTTTTAGTCACTTGGGCTGTGCCCGAGTCGGGCTCACTCACATGTTTTCTGGTGCACCAACGATGACCTTTTTCGCTCCATGGTCTCTTCATCGCCATAGATGCCGGTTCTGCTAGAGACGCTGCCACTCAATTTCACCCAGCTTCCGGGTGGGGCTACGGACGTTGACCTGGGCCTGACAGTCCTCACGGATGGGCTGGTAATCCTTGCCTGTAATGATGCAGCGACAGTTGCAAGCCTGGGCAAGGCGGGCTGGGGTATGTGCGAGCGCCGGGAAGGGGCCAGAAAGCGGCATCATGCGCCAAACTCATAGCGGTGTCATGTTGACGGCGTGGGGAACTAGCGCAACCGGAAGAGCTGGCCTTTCGTTACACTGACAGCGACGAAACCTGGGTCTACGTCCTTTGGCGCCACATGCAAGCCGGCCAAACCGTCGAGGTCGGGTTCTGCTTTAGCTCCTCCATCTGTTGGCATCAAGCAGATTGCTGACCTCTCGCTTCTCCAAATTTGCGGTTTGTGTTTAGGTTCCCCAGGTCGGTTGGGCGGGCACCATGGTCATTCTACCGGCTTGAAGCTTGCCTCAGCCCTGGTGGACTGGGCCGTCATACTCAAACGAAACTTTTAAACTCAAAAACCTGAATGACTATTTCTGCCAAATCTGGCTGCTGCCATAAACCTTGACGAAGAAAGCATGATGACCGTTGGTGAGGCGTTACAAAAGAATAGCTATAAAGCATAATAAAGCATAAAATCCTTGTAAACAGCACAAAGCACAAAGCACAAACAGCACAAACAGCATAACATAAAATCCAAACGCCCACGTTGGTTGTTGGTTCATGTGCATAATATGCCCGTGTGGCAATTGTTTTTCGTTTGACAACCAACGTTCGCTTGAATTTGCCGCGATCGTTAGCATGGCAGCGCTGCGCGTGCGAACCATTTGTGGTACGGGTAGAGTTGACACGTTTCACTCTGTGCATTATCAGATTCCCTTTTGGGTGGGATCAATCTGGGGAGGAGGGACCTTTGGCACGACCCCCGTTTGAAAAAAAAAAAAAAAAAAAAAAAAAAAAGCCACCATAAAATGGCGACGTGCAGCCTGCTTGAACTCACTTACCTGACACGGTCGTAGGCCTCTTGGTCCTCGGCATGGCTTTTATCCAGGCCGTGCCCCTTGGCCAAGGCAATGACGAACCCGAAGAAGTTCGCTCCGGCTTTGCGGCCCTTGGTGCCGTTTTCTCTTCTCCAGATTCACGCGCCGTACGTGCCTGCTTCATGTTTGCGCTGGGGGGGGAAGTGGGCGACAAAAAGATGGCCCTTGGTGTCTTTGGTGCATGAGGCAGCTACACGTGGTGGCAGACAGTCATATGGGCCCCGAGTTGTTCTTCTGTTGTCGTTGCTTGCTTCCTACTGGCCAGAGGCTAATGAATGACGCTCTGATCCGGCCATCTGTACAGGCGGCATCTTTCACGCATGCCTTCATCGGCGGTCTTTCCATGATGGTGGTCTCGGAACTTGGTGATAAGACGTTTTTTATTGCAGCCATCTTAGCCATGCGGTGAGTTTGCTCAGTTCTCACTTTGGCCAGCTCCTCATGCCACTTTGGACTGTGTTCCACCGAATACCTGTTGCATCTACTGCCTTCTAAATCACACTTGCTGGCATCTGCTTCGCTAGTCATTCGCGTTTCACCATTTTCTGTGGCGCCATCGGGGCACTTGGTTTGATGACATTTTTGTCTGCCTACGTGGGTGCTTTGGCTACCGTCATTCCGCGCATCTACACCCACTACATTGCCACTGGCCTGTTCGTCATTTTCGGCCTTCGCCTGCTGCGCGTAAGTGGGGGCCAAGCCAAAGACGCCTCTGTACATGACAGCTTTATCCAGCCAGTTGTCCTTGGTTGTTCAAGGCTCATTGCCTACACTTCATAGGATGGCTACAACATGGCAGACGACGAAGGTGCCGAGGAGCTTGAGGAGGTACAACAAGAGCTCAAGGCTAAGGAAGAGCAGCTGGATGGAAAATGTTGGTCGCACAGCCTTCATATCCACTGTCCTTTCGTCATCTTGGTTGCAAATCACAGCAGCGTCACTCTTTCTTGCTTCGTATCCATCGGCCTGGCTCACCTCCTTCTTTGTTTCCTTGTTTAGCGGCCGGATTGCTATCCCCTGTCTTGGTGCAATCCTTCATCATGACGTTTTTGGCCGAGTGGGGAGATCGCTCTCAGATTGCCACGATCATCCTGGGCGCACGAGAGGTCGGTCTCTTTTGCTGGCTGGCATCCCAAGGGTCTCCAGGCATGCATGCCACAGCATCAGCGGGTCATGGTGACCAATCTTGCGGACTTGTCGGTGCACGGTTGTGTTCACGCTTGCTCTGGCCACTGTTTCATCCTGTCAGGATCCTCTTGGTGTGACCTTGGGCGGTATCTTGGGCCACTCTATCTGCACATTTATTGCAGTCATGGGCGGTCGTTTCATGGCCCAGCGTATTTCTGTGCGCAAAGGTTCGGCTCGCACGGTTGCTCCTGCTTGTTTGAGCTTTCAGCTGGTCAACACCCTTAACCCCACGCATCCTTAACCTTTTTGTTTTAAAAATAGTTACGATTGCGGGAGGCGTTGTCTTCCTTATCTTTGCGCTCTCGGGTCTCTTCTTTGAGGATCCTTCTAGTGAGGGTATGGATGCTGCCGTGGCAGAGATTGAGCTTAACAACTGAGGAAATCAACAATCTAGCAAGGCCTTCCCCGTACTCAAGGTCGAAATACGAGTCGTCCGACGGGCTGCGAGGCTCTTTCGGCCTTGACACATGAGATCGCGCTTCCCTGTTGAAGCGTGCGTGTCGATTCCTGATTATGTTTTCGTCCTTTTAGTTCTTCTTCTTTTTTTTGTGTTGTTTGAGGGGGGTGTCACGGGTGGGGGGTTGGCTCGTCAAGTCCAAGAGGTTTGGCTACGGCAAGGTAGATAGGGCTGCTGGCGGCCGCCGGCATGCAACGGATCGGGTCTCTTGTTCTCACGCATCAGTCCAACGCTAATCGAGCTTACACAATTCACGAAAGGTAAACTACATCCTTCCACACACACACACACACACACACACACACACACACACACACACACACACACACACACACACACACACACACACACACACACACACACACACACACATCAAAAGGTCGCAAAAAACGGACACACAGAAAGCATTTGCACCTCGTGTTGTCACATCGAGCCGTTTCCTCTTGATTGGTATGTTATCCGCCTCACTACCATCAAGTGCTTTCAGCTGCGCAGCCATCACGCACTGTTTGTGGGCAACTGGCTGGCAAAGCCACACACACACGCACACACACACACACACACACACATGTGTGTGTGAACTCGGTGCTCATGACAGAGATCTGCACTGCCTTTCTCGTCAGTGGCGATTTGATGGGAATGCGGAGCTGACGGGTCCTGGTGACGGAACCCACGGGTCAAAGCAAGAGCACCACTGCCAGCCTCCACCAAAGCGAGCATCATGTCTGCTTGTGGCAGCCCGCGCATGTTGCGGGGATTCGAGCCGGCTTCCCCGTCAGAGTCTTTCCGCGCCCGCACTGGTACGTATTCGGGCCACAACAACGGCAGCAGACGATCCATCCCTCTTTTTTCTTTCTCTGTCTGCCTGTCTGTCTGTCTCTCCGGTTCTCCTTCGCACAGTTTGTTAGCTGATGTCCGTGTGCTGTTCCTGAAACTCTTTTGCACCCCCTTTTGGATCGGGCCACGTCACAGCATCAAGCATGGGCTTGACCTCCGGTCGTCTCTTGCCGCCCCTCTTGCCAGCATCAGCAGCAAGCTTGCCCATCTTGGCTCAGCTGGGTGATGAGGCTCCATCGTTACATTCGCTGGTTGACGTGTTTTGGCGGGAATTCGAACATATGGCCAACGCACGTCTGGCGCACCTTGAGCTCGCTATCAACGAGGGTGCTACTTTTGCCACGGCGCTGGGTATCGAGGAAAACGCCGAATTCCGTCAGCACCTAGAGTTTCTGCATGCGCTGTGTGATGAAAGCGCCCTGATCAACCCCATCTGCGAGCGCCTTTTGCACTGGATGGACGAGCTCTCGCTCCCGCCTCGCGCCGTTGTCAGTGGGAGCCCTCGCTTGCCATCTCACCATCACCACCATCACCAGGCTACCGCACTGTCCAGTTTTGATGGCAAGACCGAGCTCGTAGCCATTGGCAAGAACGTGCTCGCACTACATGCCCTGCGTCGAATTCTACGCTCCTCCGGCAACGAGACACGGCTCACAAGTCATGTCATGGAGCGCATACTCACTGCTGCCATCGCTCGATTTGACCGTCAAGAACAGTACGTTGTCTGTCCTAGAAGGAAATATTCCGCTTGCTTTTTGCCTGTACCACGTGTGCCTAAGCGCCCGTTTTGGCCTGGCACCTGAAACCGAATAGAATTTATGGTGGAGAACACACGGGCCTAGATGGCACCGTGGCAGACTTGGCAGCGGAGATTGTGGGTCTGCTGTCCGAGGTTGCGTAAGTTTCTGGTCTTTCTATCCTCCAACAGGCAGACCGTGATCAGCCTTCACCTCCACCGCGTGATGCTGCCTTTCTGATCATACCCGCTGGCAAATATTCAGGTTTACTACCGTATCAGAGCGACTGGTGCAGTACATTTCCGAATTGGAGGATAGCAGCGTGGCTCAAATGACCGTCATAAGCTGTCTCAAGTACCTTCGTATCAAGCTCTACCCAGCCGCTGCGCTCAACAACTGCTTTCATTTTCTCCAGGTTAGTATCCAATCCAGCCCCGGGCCGTTGGTCTCATTGGAAGCGAGCTTCCACAAGTAGGCAAGCTCAGAGAAGAGACGCATTTTGTTTTTTTGATCGATATCACTGCGCTGCCTCACTTTCTGTCATCGGTCATCGGTCATGGGGTCATGCCATGTGTTATCTTGATCCGACTAGCAATGCTGTGAGCTCTTTTTGAGCTGCAAAAAGTCCGAATGCAAGCACGCGTGGGCTCTGCTTTTTGTAGAGCTCTTGGTGCCTGTTGCGGCGGTACGCGAAACAAATGCAGGCCCGACTCATATGTGGCGCGCGGATCTTTGCCTCACCGTCGCTCGCGCCGCCACTGGTGGTGCCCTTGGTTCGAGTAGCACATTGCAAAGGAGGTCAATTTGTTGATGGTCCGCAAGTTTGTCGTCAAGATGTACGATGCAACCGCAGAAAGCTTCAAAAAGAGCAAGCACGTCGCGGTATGTCAAAGTTCAGCGTGCATAGCGTTACGGCTGCACACATGCGCCTTCCATGGAGTTTGCATGCGCTCCTGCGTGGCATCGCGCTGACCTCCCCACTTAATTATCGCTGCACGCTGCACTGGGTTTCGTAATCTCACGCACCATTCATTGTAGCTCAAGCAGGCATACCTTCAATTGTTGACGGCACTGCTGTGCATTTCGCAAGCTGACTTCTTTCAACAGCACTGGGAGTCAGTTTTGAATGCAGCCATCTCCAATCTCAAAGCGGCCAAGCAGTTGCAAGATGCAGCATTGGATGCCATCTATCGCCTGGTAAAACCTTATGCTCGGGGTGGGCATGTGGAAGTGCTGTCATCCGCAGTCACAATCTCATTGGGCAGTCTTGGTGTTTGGTCACGACTCACCCATTTCATTTGTGCATGATGTATCCTCCTTATCAGGTCTGGGTCTATATGGTGCGCATCAAGGGGGAAGGCCAGAAGACCGAGGCCAAGATCAAGTTTGTGTTGGACAGTCTTTTTCCGCCTGGCAGTAAAACCATCATCTGCCGTGACGCCTCGCCGCTCATTTATGTGCGCATTCTGCAGTTTATTGCCCACGTACGTACTGCATCGTCCTGGTGCTCCGTGCCTCTTGCTTCCCTTTGTCCGCTGCTTTGGCAGGTCATGCAAAGATCCCCAATGAGCCCGGGCCAGAGTTTGACATGGCTGTCATATCATGCCCATGCCTAACACGACGTTGCTTCTGGTCGCCCACACGATCCGGTTTTGGCTTTAGGAGCGCTCCGACATTGTTTTTCGCTTCATTCTCCACGAGATTGGTGCAGATAGACCCAACTCCCTCAACCTGAACCCCGAAAGAATGATCATTGCTATTCGTGCTGCCGTCGCCATTGCTAATCAAGCTCAATCCAAAGAAGAACAGCCATCCATGCCCCTCATGTTCGAGCGAGCGTCGGCTATGGGGGGCACCGGGACGTCCAACGCTACCGAACTGCGCTCTCAGCGATTGCTTACAACATCATTCTTGACTCCCGAGGCTGCAGCCCAGAGCGGCCTGGCCAGTTATTTGGACCCACTGCGCAAGCAATTGGCGGCCATCCTCACACAACTAGATGCGTTGATCGTTCAACCGTACTTGTTGACCCGCAGTGGGGACGAAGTGTCCACAGTGCACGCCCAATTGCTCACTCAGCACCGACGCCTCCTCGAACTTTATCGGAATGCCCTTCTTGCTGTGCCACGCTTCTTTGACCTGGCTCACCCGACGACAGACGTGATTGACTTTGTGTTACACGGCACCATCCATGTGGACGCCGAGGTCCGCCGCCTTGCCTCCACAGTCCTTCAGTGTATGCTGCGCAATCACCCAGGCCAGCGAGCCAGCTTGATGCAACGCCTCGTGGGCTTTTTCGTGCACACGGTGCCTTTTGGTGAAACATCGAGTTTTGAAGTGGCCGTCAAGATCTTGATTTATACGATCCGTCAATGGACACGCACCCTGGACGAGGAGGCCATTCCGCCAGACGGTGCCAACAAGGCTGCTGCGGTTGCCGCGGGAGTCGTGGGCTCAGAGATCATTGCTCCCCATAGTGATCTCATTGACCCCTCGTTCTCCTCCATGTCAGTCACAGGTCCCATCTCCTCCATGCAAGGCTACGAGCCAGCGCACGAGGATGGAACGGCGGCGCGGCCCACCGGAGCCAGCAGCCCGCGCGTGCTTCCACTACGCCTGTCACGTCGCCGTCTGCAGAAAATGCAGGAGAAAAGGACGCCCGGCTTGGCGGTTCCTGGCGTTAGTGGTCTGGGCAACCTTGAAGAACATGCGGGCACCCACAAGAGCACGCCCACAGAGTTCCGCGATGCCATGATCGCGATTGAAGCCTTTCTACTCGTGAGTCTCTTCAATGCGCGCGTGGCCATTCGCAAGCTGGCCCTGCTGGCGGGCCGCGAGCTTCATGCTCTAACGGCCGCGCTGAAGCGCCACCATGGATATCGTCTTGATCACCACTGTCAGCTGCACTCTTGTTTACGGCCCCGAATCTTACGGGCCCACCGCTCCTCCACTGAGGCCCACCACCAACAAGGCCCACCGACGGATGTCACTGCATCATTAGACGTGGCACCACCCCTGTCACCCTTTTCCCACATCCTCGACACATCAATTTCTTCGCTGTCCCGCGCTACCCGAAGTGAGGGTGCATTGAGTGAGCTCATGACTTCGGGCACCCCGGGCAGTGACTCCCCCGATGATCTTTGGACACAGGCATTGTGCCAGGTCCTCGTAGAGCCAGCCACCCGCAGTCATTTAACCATGTTACCAAGGGCTTGGATGTTCGCTGCTCATATGGTGCACTCGCGCAGCATCATCTCGGACGAGGACGGTGCTTGGAATTACGAAAAGGTCAAGCTCAGCCCACAGGTGACAACCACCGCCAGCCGCAGCTTTGCTGGCCTCCTTTCTTTCCTGTTTGCCGTGGCAGACCTCGTGACACCGGATCCTCATGCGCAAGCAGACCCATACTTGGACCGATACGCGCCCAGCCAGGCGGGCACGGGACTCAATCACCAACGGCCCGACGTGCCACGGACCGCCGCGGACATGTTTCAGTACGTAGCACCTTTCATGAAAAGTGATCAAGCAGGCATTCCGCGTGCCATTGTCTTTGGCTGCAGCGTGCTGGCCTCGTCCCTGGTTCCACGTTGGCTCCATGCTGTATCTCCCTATCTACGCGAGGTGACCGACGTCCGGTCTGAATCTTCCCGCAAAAAACGGCGGCGGGATGCATTGCGTTTCACCGTGTGCAACGCTCAGCTTGCCCTGTCTGCTGCCATGGGTCGTTGCTTGGATCGTCAAGGTCTTGAGGGCGATGAAATTCTTGCCACGTATCTACACGCCTACTTTGACGGGTTGCGCATCTTCTTTGAGATGTCCGAACACTCGGACGACGCAGCCATCCAGCGGCTGCGGGCCCTGTTCTTCAAAACAATTTCATGCCTGAGCGACGCCATTACGGTTGAGTCCGTGCATACCGTCGCTTTTCCTGCCACACTGCGCCATGCCCTGTACGCGCTGTGCGTCAAGCATGCATCTACCGCCGCCTACGCCCTACCTCCGACGCCTGGGACGACTGACGCCTTACGCGCCAGCTTGGCCATCTCAGCTTGCGAGGCCGTGGCACACTTGTGCCGCGGGCCGGCCTTTGAACCGGAGGCAAGCTTGATCACGCCTGGGTATCTGCGTCACTTTTGGCTTGATGCATTGAAGTCGGGCGTCGAGCCGGTTTGCAACGCCGCTCAAACTGGACTCTTCTGGCTCTGCTACTGCAACTCCGAGCCCGCCGTAGGTGTTCTCACATGGGTCACCGACCTTGCATACACGCTTAAGCACTCCCGTGGTCGAGATGCCTGCTTCGCTGCCATGTGTCAAGCGGCAGCCGAGAAGTCGAGCAGCTTTCTGCCACACGTGCAACACTTTGTTCTTCTCTCGCTCTTCGCTTTGGCAGAGGATGCTACCACGCGGGCTGCTGCCTTTCGAGCACTGGCCCACCTGGCCCAAAGCGTTCTTCCAACCGAGCCTTACGGCTTTGCTCGGCTTGTCTTCGAGCCCGCTCGTGAGGACATTGACGTTTCCGCTGAGCTCGTCCTGGTCGTGAATGAGCAAATGACTTTGCTGCGCCCCGATTGGCCGTTGGCCGTAATCGCCGAGTTGGTGCACCGCCTTGCTATGGCTGTGCCCGCTGAGCGCAGTCATTTGGCTCGTTTACTCACCATATGGTGTCGGGCCCTTCCAAGACATGCGGCTTCGGGCCCAGTTGATCGGCGACGTTGGGAGGCAGCTCTGGTCGAAAGCCTCTTGCACCTGTCTGTGCGCACCTCAGATCTGAGTGTTGCCATTGCGGGCATCTTTGCAGACTGGGGCACCGATCGGGGTCAGTGGAGTCGTTTCGTAATGACGCATGCGCTCTCTCTCGTTGGCCAGTTTCGCAACGAGCGCTTGATCGGGGTCGTGCGAGGCGTGCTTCACGCGATGGCCGCCCACAATGCCTCTGATGTCCTTGACTGCCTGGTTGAGGCTGCGACCAACGAGAATCCCACAACTCCCTCTATGCAGTCTCCCAGCAGTCGGGCTTCTATGGATATGAGCAGTGCCACGGTTGAGGCCGGGTTGAATGAGGGCGAGCCAGCGGACGCTTTCTTTGGGGACACCTATCTCGACATTCCCCTGACCAATCTCAGGTTGCAAGACCTGATGTCATTCAGCGGCGAGGAGGACGAGTGTTACTGTCCCGCTCTCCTTTTTTTGGCTGACCTGGCCCTGCAGCATCCTCGTCAATCTGTGTGGATGCGCGCGCTGCCGCGCCTCGTGCATGCTGCAGTGTTGCGCCTGGATCACCCGGACGCTGTTTTGCGCTCACACGTTCATGACGTGCTCCGCACTCTTGCCGTGCTTCTCCACTGCGAAAAGCAAGGTGGGGAGGGTTCCACGGCGGGCAATGTGACAGGGCCAGGGTCGGATGGGGACGTGCTTGGGTTTGCTTCTCGAGACACGGACGCACATAGCGGCGATGATGGCGTGAACAGTGGCACTTTCGGTCGGAGCTTGACGGCACCGGGGACGCCCCTCACGCCCCGATCCTTGCATCGAAGCCTCACCTCCCTGGGCGGCACTGGCTTGGTGGCCTCACCACCGGGCACCGATTGCAAACTTACAGAAGTCGTGCAGACCTTGCAGCTAGCAGACCTATTTGGTGAAGATGTCTTGGGCAGTGCTGCCCTTGCCATCGACACCGGGCCCGCATTCTCTGCCTTCTGCGATCGTCTTTGCGAGTTGTTTGAGCCGGCAGCACACACACGAGAGGCACCAAGTCTTGCTGATACAACGATGGGGCGGCCTGACAGTAGCTCGGTCCGTGCCAGCTCTTTTCGTGAGCTGTGGGGCGTCATGGCGCTGCGACAAGCCGTGGGAAGCTCCATCACTCAGCTTGCGCTTCGATCCTTCCGGGTGGTGCAGTTGCTCTTGCCGCCGTTTAGCCTCAAGCAACTGAGCGATATGTTGGTTCGCCTGGCCGATGTGGCAGGCAATACGCTTCGGGATGCGCAGATGTACGTGAGCGAGGTTACGCGAACAATTGGTTCATTTATTGCCGATACTCGCACCCAGCCCTCGCAGTATGGCCGGCAGATCCAACGCACGGCCGTCAGCCACGTGTTTTGGGCGGCTGTAGCTCTGCTGGAGAGCAACGTGCCCACAGAGTTTGAAGCCGGTGCATCACTGCTTCTTGAGTTGCTCAAGGCTGCCACCGGGGAGGGATGGGACAATTCGGGCCACGCTGCAGATGGAATCTTTGATGAAGAAACTGCTCACCTCATTTGCGAGCTAAAGGACAAGGTAGAGCAAGACGTCGAGCTGCCGGATGTCGTCCTTCTCTGCCTGCGTGGTCCTTTCGCTGGGTGCCCACCTCCTGTTCTTCTCGAGTTGCTAACCTTGTTGGCCGAGAATGCGCATTCTGACATCCTGGGCAGCAACGACGGCCAGCTCTTCCTCGTACTGACCTTGACCTCGAGTTTGGCGCCTCACTTGGATGACATTGCCAATGCCCCGGCCTTGGAGCGGCGCTGTGCGGCAGCGCTAAGCCGTCTCTGTCAGCCACGTAGTTCTCGCCTGGGTCGAGTGTTCCAGTTGTTTGCGGACGGCACGTACCCCAAAGACGGCAAGTCGTGGCTAGGTGACTTCGCCAAGTTTTTTGCTGGCGCATTTTTTCCAGACCTGGAGCTGCCCACCTTCATGTTCCTGGTGCGACTGCTCGACCGGCACCCGGCCGGCCGGAGCCTGGGTTGTTTGGACGTAATTTCTGCGTTGATGCAGGCTGTGCGCGCCGAAGGTGCTCGCCTGCGACCCTTTGCAGCTGATGTTGCAGCTGTCGTGGTGCGACTGCAGCGGGACCATCAGTGGAGTGAGGCGACCATGCTCATGACGGCCGGTCGGCACCTCTTCAACGACAGCGAATTACCAACGGAAGAGGAGAGTGCCGATTCTAGCAATGACCATAAGCAGGCAATGCAGGCGCTCTCCACCGTTGTGCTGCCCTTTTTAGGGTCTCGCAATCACGCACACGTGGGGTCGTCCCGCACACAAGCGCGCCTTGGTCAGCTCTTGGCGGCCATTGGGCACCAGCAACACAGCCAGTCAGCACTGCTGTTTCGTGCTACACAAGAGGCCGAGGACGCAGATTGGGAGGTGCCGGATGAGCCAGAGACCGACCCTGCAGCCCCGGAAAGCGACGTGGAAATCGAAGCCGATCAAGACTTGCATGAATTCTTCAACGACTTTGCCTTTTTGGAGCATGCTCTCACCGGGTCATCGCGCGACCCCTTGGACACCTCTCGCGGCGACTCGCCTAGCGAGACAGGAGGTACTGCCTTATCGCCATCTCCGCCGTCGTCAGGTCCAGGGGCTGCACCAGATACTCCACCCAGTTTTGCCAATCTGCCCACTGCCGCGGAGGCGGGAGCTTCTACGGGCCCTGGTGGATCGCCCTCAATCGAAGAGCGCCGGCGGCGGCTCTTGCGCACCGCTCGCGCCAGTAGTAGCCGCCACAGTCGCTCAGCACCCTCGCTCAGCATGCGCCCACGCACCCTTCCAGAGGTGCCCGGCGGCCACCCGCCGAGCCCGCTTGGCCCAGGAGCGGGTCGACAATCATCGTCTATGGATGAGGAGCTCTGCAGCCGCCATCTGAGCTCACTGCCGTCTCAGCCACTAGACGAGCTGGATTGGATGCGCTTGGCGCACTCGATGCTTTTGCATATGGATCGCTGCGCCCTCGTCAACGCCGCCTATTATTTTTCCCATGCTGCTGAGGTTTGTGTCGTCGCCTTTGGTGTGCGTCTTCTTTGGTGTGCGCCATCTTTTCTGCTATCATTTTGAGTACAGAACCGACCGTGTGAACTGATTGTGCTTTTGTAGGTTTTGCTTCAGCGTCACGTGGCTTTGTTCCGTGACGTGCTCAAGATGGGGCTGGATTTGGACACCGAAACTCAAACGGCTGGCACCAGTGTGATGGAACGCTTGACCGAGCTTCCGCCCTTGCCTATGATCATCATGCGTGATGGCGTGCTTGACGACGACACCGTGCGCGAGTCGCTCGTCCAAGTGTGCTATCGTCTCCAGGATGATTTGGAGACTTACGTTTCTCGGCGAGAGGAAGTGTCTGTGGAGCTAGGGCGCTTGCGTGCCTCACTGCGCCGCCGCGAATCGGCCCATCGCCTGCCAGCTGCCTCTGCTGCTACATCTTCTGTGTTGAAGCACGGCCTGTGTCAGGACGCCTGCAAACTGACGCACCGAATGACGGGCCTCCTGGGCAATTTTTCGCGTGTGTGGGCGCTCTTTGGCGCCTACTGTGTGCGCCATCCAGAGCGCAACAAAAGTGTAGTGATTCAGGAGCTATGGAATCGCATTGTGCGCGAGCTGGATGACGACTGTGTCCCCATTATGGTGGATTCTCAACCTTTGAGTGCCGACACAGAATTGGTAGCGCTGCAAAACAACCTGGAGGGCGGCAACATCAAGCAAGCCCAGCGCTTGCTTCGAGGTGAGGACTCATTGCGGCCCTTGGACGTGCGTGCGAGAAAACATTCAATGTTCTGTCCCTCATTTCTATCGCTTTTCGCTTTCCTTTGCTCTGTGCTTTGCTACGTCCATCTATTCCTCGAACATGATATGACAGGTTTCCGGGCGGCGGGTGCAGATGCAGCTTTGGGTCATCAGCAGCTGAGCGATCTCGAGACGCTGGTCAGTTGTGTCTTCTTCCGCGCCATGAACATTTCTCCAGCGCGTGGACAGTCACCATCTCGTCCCATGCCCATCTGTGCTTGTTAGGTGTTGATTGCGATGCCCAAGCTACTGTCTGGTGGTGCCGACATTGGTGTGATTGGTGTGCCCCAGATCCAGTATAACACGACCCTCGAGACACTCGAGCGAGAGTTACTTCAGTACGCGCGTTTACTTGAGGGCGGCAACGAAAAGCCAACTCTGACACCCTTTGAGTAGATTCCGTGAGTAGATACCGTGATTGTGATCACAAGAATCATAATAAAATTATTACTACCTACTGTACTACTTTGCACATGATGAGATAGTTAAGTTTACAATCCAACTTTATACCGATGCCAATCAAGATGCCATGCCATATGCGATGTCTCGAGTCACGATGTGAAGAAGATCATGTAAATTTTTGGTCATGAAATTGCACACACTGTGAGTAAGAGGACAGATGTGGCTGAAACTCATCCAACATCCTGAATTGTAGCTGGGGCGCGCGCTTCGCAGCATCAAAAGTCGCATGGGCAATCAAAATGCATGCTTGGTTCATGCACACTCTGAAGTCATGTCCTTGTTGTCACGAGCCCTGAGTCCGGCCTAGCCTTTCAGCCTTACTGATTGTAAAACTTCTTGTTGATCAGGAAGAGCAGCAAGTTGATGTTCACCGTGCACATGTCGTCGAAAAGCTTCATCGTCGACATGCCTTCATATTGGCGCTGCAGCAGGTCAGACAGCTCAATGCGCTCTGGCTCAAACGGGTTCTGGCCCAAAAATGATGCCCGCACAATGAAGATACCGGCCTCGTCGCTGGAAACCTCAATCTTGACAAATTTGAGCCTGCACACGGCGAAGGAGAACAGGCGGTGCGCTGTGAGCTTGGCGGGCATTTGGGGCAAACACAAAGAAGTCGGCTGAGAGTAGCAACGTACTGCGTCTCACTAATGTCTTTGACGTTGAGAAGCACGCCGCGCTCCTTGAGCTTCGCAGCGGTGTACTTGACCGTGCCCAGGAACTGGCCAGAGCTCTCGTCTTGGCCTCCTGTCGCGATGGATTGCTTGCGTGCATTCTTTCGACCGAAGAAGTTTCGCCTGAGAACAATTCACACATTCAAAAATCAGCACGACCAAGACGCAATCCAGACATTTGAACAGGTCATGTTGTGTGGGCAACTAGCAAATCTGAACAAGACGGGGCGAGGGGCGCCTAACTGACTTTGTCTGGGTACCTTGCCCCATGTGAGCAACGGCATTCTTGACATATTGGTCCCACTGTTCGACCTGCTCCTCGTAGAACTTGTGTTTGGCTTGCAGGTTGTCCAAGGTACGATTCAAACGCTTCAGCTCAGCCTTGCGGCGTTTGCGATGAATGCGTTGATGACGAATATCCTGAGCTACGGCGTTGAGTAGTCCTTGATACCCATCTTCTTGCGAGCAGAGACCCTCCGTCTCCAAGGCCGCAGCGTTGGACAAAATTTTGGCTTTCGTCTCAGCAAGGGTCATGCTAAAAGCCACAGATCATGAGGGCGAGACACACGAAAAACGGGGGTTGGGTTGGGTTGAAAGCATTTGGCTGCAGAACGCGGCTTCACGTACAAATCACCACGAATGGCTTGCTGATTCTGTTGATGGCCATCGCGCTTGCTCTTTTCCAATCGCTGCAGACGAGCACAAAGCAATCAGATCGATCCGATGATGTAAGGAGGTGGCGCACGGATCCCAAAACAGGTCAAGTATTCGACACAGACACAGGATTCGACACAGACACAGACAGACACAGACAGACACAGACAGACACAGACAGACACAGACACAGGCACAGGCACACACCTCTTGCATTTGTTTCTTCTGATCGTCTACAAAATCCTTGTGGGCCTTTTCCATGCCATCGGTGGCGGGCGTAGTGAGGATTTGCATCAAGTTCTTGCCGGGCTGGAAGCGGATGACATCCACGACCATGCGCTTGGTTCGGATGTACAGCGCGCGAACGTTGGCGTCATCGTCCAAAGGCACCTCAAACTTGTTGTTCAGAGTCAGCAGCATGGGAACGTTGCTGGCTGCACGATCTGGCGTGTCTAACAAATCGGTCCCAAAAAGCAGGCAGGCCGGAGACACCGCAGTGAGCTTTGCAGGCCGCACCGATGGGCTGGCTAGCAAGGCATGGCCATGCCAGCGAATCGTACCCTCCTGGCCCAAGACCTCTTCCTCCTCGCCGGGCGAGCCCAGTTCGGCCAAGATGGCGTGCAAGTGGTCCTCTTGTCCTGAGCAGACACGATCAATGTTCTGGTCTAGCATCTGAGACGGTAAAGAAGACGCATCACAGTAAGTGAAGCCATACCCACAACGCAACGCCCTTGCGTGAAAACAAGCAAACAAAATACACAAACGCAACAGGTAGATGACAATGGGTGCCTGTTTACCTCATGAGTGTAAAAAATGTCCGCAGGGGAGAGAGAAATTTGGGGCTTGGTCAGCAGCGTGGCATCACTGTACTCGTCCATGTTAAAGTGCTGCTCGGGCGTCTCAACGCGAGTCACGTCGATAAAAAAGTTGTTAAAGATGACCCAGCTCTCTTGCACAAACTGCTGGATGCCCGCGTGTAGGCCCTCGCCAGTTTGGCCGGCCGCAGCTGCTTGTAGGATGCGACTCAGGAGTGCTAGACTGTGACGCTGCATGTCCTCGACGACGATCTATGCACAATAGAGACAGCATGAGAATAGCACGAGAATGCATGAAAAATATAGACCAGAGAAGACGTAAAGCTGATTATCGTGCCCCACCTACCGGCATGTTGTTGTCAGAGGTCAGATAGCGTTCGGGGGACACCATCACGGGGTTGAAGTAACGGTAGTAGATGACCGTGCCCAATGCCTTGGCCACCTCATCTGGTGAGGCATCAGGAAACTTGGCTTCCAAATCCTCCTTCAAAGCACGGCACACATAGCGCAACCCATATGGCATATCCCCCAGGTGGTCGACAAAGGCGTCTCGAATCTTGGAGCCCAACGCGACAACATTGCGAACTGCACGGTCGAGATCGTTTTTAACCTCGTCATGCTTGAGAGCATCCTCCGTCGTCACATCGTAAGGCAGGTCAGCGGGGCGGCCCGTCTCAGTCTCGATGCGCGTAAGCCAGCGACGGTAAATAACCAAAGGATCTGTTTCCAAATCCAAGGCCTCTTGCTTGCCGCTTCCCAAAACGTCGCCCATGAAGCAGTTGAGAATCTTGCGCACATACTCCTCACCCGCCTGATCACGATAATGCTTGACCACGAGCTTGATGAAGAGTGGATTGCCGGTGATGATGTCCTTGATCTGTGTCACCTTTTCCTCAACCTCCAACTTGAGAGCCTTGCGGTAGAGCTGCACCAGAAGGAACTGTTCTCGCGCGTTTGAAGCGTAATTGTACACAAGCTCAATCAGAGTTTCGAGAAAGTTGGACGCTCGCAATTGCGACCACTTGGCGCGAGGCTTGTCAATAAAGACCAAACGAGCCAGGTACTCGGGTTGCGTTTGCAAGAGGTAAAACAAATTTTGGTAGTGTTCAAGCTTGCGACGCGAGTCCTTGGTCAGCGCCTTCAGGCCCCCAGAGTTGTGTGCCACAACCGCATCCAAGTCTTTAGCAGAGCCACGGCGCCGGGCGCGCTTGAGTTGGCGGTTCTGTTTTTCAACGTCTTGGAGGGAAATTCGGTTCTTGACCAAGAGACCGATTTTGATGTCCATCTGATTGAGATTGTGGTCGAGTTCAGTGTTCACCTGGATGGCGCGCACAACGCGCTGCTTGAGTTGCTGCAGATTGAGCTCTTCTTGAAAGTCTGTCTCGCTTTGATCCAGTAGATGCAAGAAGCGGCGCACGGTAGTCACTGGAGGATCGTCCACTTGCGTCAAATTCTCGTACTGCTTACGCTCGCGGCGACCGCGGAATGCGGCTTGAATTTTGACCACTGCTGCTACTTGGGAGTTGAGGTACTTGAGACGATCAAGGTAGGCATCACGCTGTCGCTTGCCACGCAATGCGGCTTGCAGCTAAGCGCGGAAGCAAACGAGGTCACAGGGCCGGGGCGGCACAAAGGTGATGGCACATGAGCACAGCCCACTGGCAAGCCCAACCGAGGGGTCAGCAAGCGGGGTGCGCGAAGCTAACCTTGACGACGGACGCCTCTTGATCGTTTAGATAGGCCAAGCGATCCTCAAACGCTCGACGCGCCAGCATGCCTAGTCTCAATAGACAACATCAGCGACAAGCGCGCGGCAGCTCTGGAAGAACGGCGGCAGCTGCTGCTCTCGACAGGGGACGAAGATTGACTCACCGCGAACGGCCGACTGCAGCTGCACAATGGCGGGTTCTGCCGCAACAAACTGCTGCCAACGCGCCTCCTCGGCATTAGCCGTGGCAATTTGGTCCTGCACCTCCTCGAGAGTCAAGTGATGCTTGCTTAAATCGTCCGGGGGCGTCCAGCTTGTTTCACGTGTGTCCTTGTTGTAGTAGTACGTCTTGCCATCCTCTGTCTGAGATGACTTCCAAGCGCAAGGACCGGCCTCCTTGCACTGCGCGACAGCCATTTGAACGCCGTGAAACCACACGCTGGGATCTGTGGGATTCTGAACAGACCCAACCCTCATGACAATGCAATCCTACCTTATCCTGCGAAGCGGCCAACAAATGCTTTTGATAGCGGGGGGCGACAGCCTCGTCCACATTGGCGACCCGTGAGTAAGGATCCTGGCCCGAACAAAATGAGACACGAGTGAGGAATCGGGATTGTCAAGGCAGCACTGGCACGTATTTATGACCACGCAAGCCCGACACCATGCCAGGTAGATTCGTGAATACCTGAAGACAGGCCAGGGTTGCTTCCGGGGTCGCCTTTTTGGAGGTGACGGCCTCGTTTAGTCGGCACAGTGCAGCGCCATCTGGATGCGCGACAGGCATCACAAGTGAATGAATGGCCCAGACGTCCCCAACGCTGAGAAGATTCAGCTATGCGCGACACAATAGAGAAGAAGAACAAGGAGAAGGAAAGCAGACAGCCTCACGTTTGGCCAATTCTTCGGCTTCAAAGTTGGCGTGGTTGATCTGCTCTTGTAGCTCTGCGGGGCTCAGCTGAAGAGATGCATAACAGAAAACCACATCAGATAATTGCGTCGACAGCTGGGCAAGACACGGGCACGTTTGAGGACCATTGACAACTGAGCGCGCGCGGCGCCTCAACCTACCGCTTCGCCCTTTTTGTTGCGGGCTTCCTGCAGCGTCGAATGGTATTCCTCGACGCCGGCTGCATCCACGTCCTGAAGCGCCAACAGGTCACTTTGAAGCAAAGGGAGCAACTCCGCTGGCCCGCCCGTTGTCAGAGCCGTGTCGATGCTTTCCAGCAACTTGGCAACTACAGAAGGCGTTGTAGACACGCACATGTTTGCAATAAGAACTACCAAACTGGGATGCGATAGAAGAGCTGAAACAAGGCATACGTTGGAATTCACGAGAGCACTCAGTGTTGGCTTGATCGATCAGGCGCTGCAGGGTATTTGCATTCAGCACCTGCCAATAGATAGGGCAATGATACATATGAACACGCATGGGTGGTGTGTAGGGAAGACGAAGAGCGGAAAAAAAAAAAAAAAAAGACCAGGCTGTACCTCGCCCGATGCGAGGGCCGCCTGAACGGCGCGAAGATACGCCGCAATGTTCTCTTCCTTGACGTTCTGCAGGTCCAAGAGCTGGGCGGCAGATTGCAACACCTGCAAGAGACCAGCAGCATCTTCGTTTTGCGCGCACTGCGTGATGGCGCCCAGAGCATGCGATACTAGGCAATTAAACCCCCCGTGAGCCAAACCATTGAGAGCATCCGTATTTTGCCAGGACCCCATGCTGCATGTGACAAAATCAACCAACCCTTGCGCTCTGTTTCGACTTCAGCGTTGGCATCATCGACAGCATCCTGGACTTGTGCGAGGGTGAGATTTTGATTTGATTCGAGTTGGCCGGCTTCTTGAGCCAGTTTTGAGTGGTACACCTTGGCAGCCTCGGCATCCAAGCCTAGAGATGGTCGCATGATTTCAGGGCGGGTGAGAGCACACAAATAACTTGTATCACCTGCAAGTTGGAACCCGGCGTTGCTATCTAACCTTCAACATTCAAAGCAGGCGACTTGAGCGCAGCCAATGTGGCGGCTGCGTCGTTACCACGCGCAGCCTTTGTCACTTCGGCCAAAGCCGCGGCAACTACAAGCCGAGACAGCAACACACGATGTGGCAGTCATTTTTCGGCAGTGCGAGCCGCCGCATGAGCTGGCGAGGCAGACACACTGAAGCGGTTTGAAAACAGGGAGCTGTGCTGTGTGTGGGTGTGGGTGTCAACTTACGAGCTTGCTGCTTGCGCTCGGCAGCAGCTGCCGTGTTGACGACGGTGATGATCTTCTGAATTTCTTGTTGTGTCAGATTCGTGTCGTACACGTCAACCTATGATAACCAGTGCCAAGTCCGATGATGCATGGGTTTTGCAGAGCAAACCGGGCAAAAGTGCAAGGCCCTGAAGTGCGGTGTACCTCCTGGTTGGCTTGATCGTCATCTGTGGTGCTCTCGCCAAAGGATGCCCCGGCATCAAGTCCACCAAGTCCGCTAGCAATGCCATCTTGGCTGCCGCGAGCCAAGTGAGCGTTATCAGGCGCATTCGCTATCTTCTCCATCTACAATGGGTAGCGAGGGCGCATTGATGCGCAAATGTGATATTGTGAATCTCAAGAGGGAGTGTATCAGCAAATCAATGCCGAGGCATGTCAACAGAAAGTGACAGATTATTAGCGCTTGATTACCAACCTTGGCAGCAATCAAGGTATCGCGATAGTGTTCGCCGGCGCCGGGATTCACTTTGTTGAGCTGCGCGGAAGGATTTTTCAGCAGCTTGACCAAGTTTTCAGCCGTGTCTTCCTCGTCCAAGGCCTGATTAATCTTCAAGATGGCCGCATGCACTGACGAGGAGGCCAAAGCATCACCGCGGGGTCAGACACCACGGAACCAGGGTCAAGGCCACAATATGATTGGCCGGTGCTGGGAGAACGAAAGCTTTGGAGACGGATGAGAAACTCACAAGTCGCCTCGTCGTTGCCAAGTTCTTTGGCTAGGATACCTCCAATCTTTCCAAAGGTAGGCATCTGCACGCCGGCCTTTTGCAGCTCCATTTGCATGGCTGACAGCTCCTCCTCTGCAAGATTATCCCAAGACGCCAGCACATTACAAGCAAAGAAACAAAAGGTGAGCGCGTGCGTGGCGTCTTGTTGTTTGCTTGTCAGCCTTGGCGGGCGCCAATTGCACCTGTGAACTGGGCGACGCCATGAAGGTCCTCCATTTCCGGGGCAATGCCCAAGTGGTAGAGATAGCGACTGAGCGCATGAATACAGTAGATGACGCGAGGCATGTTCTTGCGTTCGTAGAGATCTGTAGTTTCGGGATAAAAAATCTACGGCAACAAAAGGCGACCCGGCCAGTCGACAATACAAGGTCAGCAAGGAGGTAAGCAAGGAGGGGGTTGCCAATGTATGGTAGGCCCGCATGAAAGCCCGCCCAAGTCGAAATGACGTGCCTCGGGTAGCTTGACGTGGCGCATGGCCTTGAGCCACTGGCTAATGTTGTCGGTGTGGCGGAAAACCAAGCCTTTGTTCTACCCGGATTAAGCGTGTGGAGGGGGTGAGTGCTCGATGACACGGTGGGGACAAGGTTGCGAACGCAGAAGTGGCAGGAGAAGGGCAGGATTCTGAAAGTCAAACCTTGTAGACCTCTTGTTCCGGGTCGTAGATTTTCTTCTTCGAAATGACCTCGGGGGCAAAGAACAGGCCAAGCTTGGCCACGTACACGCCATTCTGAAGTGCCACTTCGAGCTCCGACGCCGGAGGCAGCTCGCTCTCAAGACACGCACCCAGCCATCTATGGAGATGAATCATGAGATGCAGGTGGAAATGTGTTGCTCATGACTATTTCTTTTCATCTTCTTATAAAGGCAGCCATAAACGCAATCCACGAAGAACAAAACCCGGGTCGATGGCAAAGACAAACGTACTGGCGGGCTTCTTCGAGATGGCAGAGATACTCGTAAGCAATATTGCGCTGGCGAGCTTCATCCAATTCGTCGCCTGTGCGACCGGCATTGCCAGTCATCTGCCCACGAGGTCCGGCTACACGGCGAGACAGTCGATTAGTGGTGGCGGCGTCGATGGGCGCCGTCCCGGGAACATGAGCAAGCAGTGCGGGGGCCATGAGGGGCGTACCATCTTCCATAAACTTGTGTCGGTCAGCCATGATGAGCGTGCTTGAACGTGAATCGTCGTGTGCGTTGTTCTTTTTGATGTAGTCGCCTGTGCCGTTCGATTTGTACGGGTCGGGTTCTTGCGGCAAGTCGTCCTGACGATTATCAGAGTGCGACTTGGCAGGCGTTCCTGCTGGGATGGATGAGGAAGACATGTCGTGATGAACGGCAAGCACTGGTGACGTGCGCATCATGGTGGAGCTACTGATGGTATGCTTGAAAGAGAAGGTGGTCTTGGTGGCAGTGGTGGTGGTGGCGAGGTGGCGAGGGGATCAGGGATGTATGACAGCATTGGATAGTGGTCGCAGGGCGTGGGACACGAGCATGGAAAAAATGACCGCAACCAACATCCACCCGCAACGAGGCGGCCCGGGGTGGGAGTTGATGACGTGTGGAACATGGGTGTGAACGGGAACGGCATTACCACGCCACGCACCCAACAAGATCGAGCCGAGCTCGAGCGGCTAGCACGTCAAGAGCCCACAACGGTCACAGCAACGACGACAACGTCACTGTGTGCGTGGGCTCGCTGCAAGGCGGCAGAGCTACTGCGAGAGGAAAAGTTGCGCAGTAGCTGTCTTCCAAACTTTCTCTTTCTAATAAGAGGCAAAAATACAAGGGGGCATGTATCATCCACAGCGAGGAGCAGGTGGTTTGGTGAGAACCAATGCAGATGCATCCCGCGCATGGTACGGCCCAGCTCGTCCCATCATCACGTCACAGACGCTCGCGCCCTTCCCAGCGCTCCACCTCGTTTCCGAAACACGAGCAATTGCGCTGGCGCATGTCAGATGGAAATTCGTTCGGTGATCCCCCCCCGCATACGGACAAGTCCAACATTCACCCAGCCATGTCCACCACCCTCCCGCCGTCCCTTCCCATCTCCCCCATCATCAACATCATCATCATCATCATCCGTCAGTGGCACCGCCGAACCACCCGACCAGCGCCGTCTACACTCACAAGGCCGTTTGCTTCCTGTACATTGACCACCACTTCACTAGCTAGCACAACTGGCTTCGACTGCTGTTGTTTCCATTGTCCCCATTGAACTGTTGTTGTGCTGTTGTGGCCCTCAACATCAGATTCTTTTGTTCTCTCTCTTCTCTCTCTCTCTCTCTCTCTCTCTCTCTCTCTCTCTCTCTCTCTCTCTCTCTCTCTCTCTCTCTCTTTGTTCT